TCTCTTCGGCGTCTTCATGTACGCCGAGGGCATCATCCTGAAGATCACCGACCTCGTCGTGGAAACGGGCAACGTAGTGCACAAGTAAACGCAATCGATCAGGCTCCGGTGACTCGGGCAAACAACGCTCAATATGTTCACTTGTGTTGGCAACAAGAAACCAGATAACTGGAAGCAAATTCCCGTTTCGGGCATAAGTCGTTCGGATGTGCTGTATGGAAGGACTTTTGGGTCTAAAATACGAATCCAACGCAAAAATAGCAGATGGCGGCTTGTAAAGTTCACGGACGGTCTCACTGGAATGAATTCCAAAGCTGAGCGGCCCCTTGGCTAGGGAAACTTCCAAGGTGCTGCCCATCTCTTCACGGGGTCTGGTGTATGCAAAGCCCTTCCCTTGGAGGTAACGCTCAAGAACGGCCTGTTTCTTCTCGTCCTGAACAGCAAGCATCAGATGGAGCTCGTGAGTACCTACAATCTCCATGAGATGACCTAGTAGGAGAAACTTTGCACTAGAATATTCGGCCCAGGCTGCCTCTTTCGCAAGGTCAGGGTCGGGGTCTTTCAAATGGTCGGAGATGTTTAAGTCTGGATGGGTTGAAACATTGCTCAACCGCGCGATGACCTCCCGCATCTGTGAATGCAAAGCTTCTCGCTGTGCATAGAATGTAAGCAATATGGAACACATTCAAGAAAGATTTCCCACGAACCTCAGGCCCAGAAATTTGAGAATTTGACTGAAAGCTGTCGAAAAATTGGCGTATGTTTGGTGCTGCATCTGATAGCACTCGCTCGTAGTCATCCTTCACACGAGAATCCATCGGAAGGGTGACGGCAAACTCAGACGGCCCAAGGTGGACTGACCCGGGCGCAACCTCATCCATGCCGTCGACGGTCAACGCGCTGGGATGGATAGTTTGGAGTGATGGTTGAGTCATATGGCCTTCATGAGCTAGTTCTGAGGGTGGTAGTAAAGGTTCAGAGTGACCATGGTGGACTGCAGTATGTGAATGGGAAAATGAATCTGTGTCGGCTCTGACACTAAGCGGTGCAGTTGTTTCGGGGACAGACATAGGGATCGAAGCCTCTATATCGCCCACGGAAGATGGAGTTTCGACAGCGTTAACTGTTTGCGATATCTCAGATTGATTTTCTTCGCCGAGTTGGGCCCAGGCGTTGCGTATCTTTTCCACGGGAGTGGACCCTGGCAATTGACTGTATCGGTCCAAAGGGGTATCGGAGAGAGAAGGATCCGATGGCCTGGGCTCTTTATCTTCCATGATTTCGGCAGATTGTTCTTCTTCCACAAGATTAGAATATGAAAGCACTGGTCGAGTTAAACCCTCAGCACTGAGCTCTTCTGGATATTGTGATAGTTGTTGAAGAACTGTCTCTGGGATTGAGCTCAGGCAAGTCGACTGGACGAACTCGCAGTCTGTGAAAATTTCAGCGAAATGCAAAAATTGATGTGGCACGTGAAACTACCTCTGATGGCAGAGCCACACGAGCCAAGAGGCTGAGAGGTCAGATTGTTGTGAGATGGAGTATTATCAAGAGGGAAAGAGCCGAAGGGCGACAAATCAGCTCCTGAACCTGGTGGCTGAGCAGGTGTCTCGGCTATTTCGGTGACCTTAGAGCTCAGTCCAAAGCCTGGTGTGTTCGGATGTGATAATTCAAAAAAGCTGCTGATTTCCGCAGAGTACTGTCGATGCGATGAGCATCTATCAACCGAATCGGCGTTTGAGTCACAAGTCGGATCACGCTGCTGCGTATCAAACACGACGTCGTCGTCCCACTCACCTGGTTGCAGGTATTCGGGCGGAACAGATGGCTGGGGGATGTATTCAAAAAGTCCAGTGGTGGCCTGCGGGCAAGAGGTTGTGGATACAGCCTCTAGAGGCGGAGAACAATCAGAGAAAGACCGGGATGGAGAGGCGGTCCCGTAAAAGCAACCTGAGGCTTCAATGTACTGAGATTGAAGAGAGTCTACTATCTCAGAAATGCCGTCTTTTCGTACAAATAGCGATGAGGACGCTCTTGAATTATTATCGGAATCAGTGTCGCTCTGTTCGATCTCGTTGTCGAAGGACGAGTGGTCCTCTGGGCCTATATTTGCTTCTGGTGATAAGGAAGAGACCTCAATGACACTAGGCGATTTAGTGGTTCTCTCGCGTGTCGATCTTCGATTTAACTTGCTTGATTGCCGGGCTTTCCGCCTGTTCCAGACTTGTATAGCAAGCTCACTCGCGTTCTCTTTGGGTTCCTAGGCAAGCAAGGGAAACGCAATTGTTAGTCCAAGTTCGAGAAGCATTTCTTTGATGCCTTTTATATCCAATGGTACCACGTGGACTCACCCAAGTTGGATCGTAAGGACCCTCCCAATCAATAAGATACTCGGTGTCTGTTTCACGTAGGATACACTTTATAGGCCACTCCTGGTCGTCCGAGTCACTACCGTCGCTGCTTTCACTGCTATCGCTAATAATCACAGTTGCAGCTGGAGGCCGGTCAGCATTCTTTCTGTGGTGACTATCAAGTTTCGGCTGACGCTGCTCTCGAAACATCATGTGCGGGCGAATGTCGGGGAGATGTTGGATAACATAACGGGGGTGAAACGAGAGTGTAGGTCCAATACTCAAGAAAAGCTCATATGAGCTGCATTGATCCGTGACACATACAATTTTTGATCCTGGGCAACATCTAACACTTCCCCAAAACAAAGCGACGGTATATGAAAGAGGGTAAATGTACGGCGCGACGGACGGACGGATAGTGAACCCGCTTCACGTGATAACGCTTATCGGCGGTAGATCTACAATATTTGGGAATAGTGACATGTGGTCAACGGGATATAGGCATATGTGTCTAAATGATAATTGAAATATGTAAAACTGTTGTATTTCTATTTCACTTAGAGCTATTGCTAACGTTGTATGTACAGATTGAAATGTGAACTTGTACCATAATCATCACTGATTATCTTGTTGCATCTTCCATTCTTCAAAGCTGAAACCAAGCTCTGCTAGATTCTTGATCTCGCTCCGCTCTTTACCTCGTTGCACAAAAGCACGCCTGATATCTGGGAAATGAGCCCGCATCCATCTTTCCCGCTCACCCCACCGAGTACCAAGTTTGCCTTGTCCGTTGTTAGACAGTCCAGGTCGTGGGTTGGCCTTTTCCGCCCAGTCGTATAGGAAATTGAGGTAATCAGCATCCATGGGAAATGGAAGCAGATGGAATCCCTTTCCATCTCCTTTGGCTTCAATTTCGGAAGCCTCCCATTTCTTCATCTCATCTTTTGGTGGAAGTGTAAGCCTTCCGGACCACACACGAGAGAAAACAGCAGCGTGGTTCTCAGCCATAGGGAATGGAATAACCCGCTGCGAAAGCACTGGGAAAACGAGAGTGGGGTGCTCTATATAAAACAATTGCTGGTAAACATTCATTGTTCGCCATCCATGGGTCACAGCCGGTGGATTGAGTGAGGACAGGAAAGGATATGAATAGAAATAGCCGGTGCAGAAAACGATGGCGTCGACATGTTCCTCAATCCGACCATCCGCAAATTTGATGCTTCGGTCATAGGCCGTCGGAGGAAGAAACTCGACTATTTCAGGGCATATGATTTTATCGCCATTTGAGGGTGCGGCCAAGTAGGATTCAGATCGTTGGGAGACCAACAGTTTGCCCTGGCTTACTTCGTTTATCTGGGAACCAATGTCAAGCCCCGAAGCAGAACTTCCTACCACAACCACCTTCTTTCCTTGGAAAGGTTCTGGAGAGTTGTAAAACTTGGAATGAGAGATAGAACCTGGGTATGATGCATCCCAGGCTTGTATTCCTGGGATGTCTGGTACATAGGGGACCGTGAAGTGACCACTTGCAACCACCACAGCATCGTAAGTGTGGCTTGTATCGATGCCAGTTCGAAGACTTTTCGCTGTTAGACTCCAGGTACTTAGAGTTTCATCCTTGAGCTTCACATCTAAGATTTGCGTCTCAAATTGAATGAGGCCTTTGATATCTTCGGCATATTCTTCGAGGTATTGTTTCACTGTCCGGTGTTTGGGGAAGAGCTGGGCTTCCAATGGGAAAGCCTTGTCCGAATAACGCATTAACTCCTTAGGGATATTGGTTTCCAGTCGATCGTATACCGGAGACACAAATGTTGCCTCACGCCCTTCAGTACGATCAATCCATACTGGCTTCTCGACTGGCTCATGAGGGGTTAAATGTGGGACAGGTGTCGACATCCCTTTTTTAGAGGAACTTGGACTGTAGTTCCATACTCCCCCTACGGAGCTTCTTTGCTCAAAGACCTCAATTTGATCGAAACACTTCTCGGCGAGCAGGTATCTGAGTCGGTCAGTATACCGTGTTGGGGGGTGACTATGTAACAACCCCGCTTACTTGACTGCAGCAAGGCCAGATGGGCCCGCGCCAATGACAGCTACTCGACGAATAGGATTTGTGGTTGTCATGCTTTCAATGATCGCGGAAGCTTTTGACGGTAACTGGTCACCTATATAGCTAAAAATGCGAGTTGGATTGCGAGATAGAAGTAGCTTCGGAGGATGCCAAGCGCTTTCGCCATAGTGGAGCTATGTGGCACCTAACTGTCTCGAACAATATAACTGAGAAGTTTTGATGTGAAGAATATACTGAGATATTTCTATTAACATTCAAAAGTATGTAAATTTTCTATAAAATCGACCAATCAGCAAGTTTCATTGGACATTGAAAATCCAATGAAGGGGGTAATATTGGTTTTCACAATACGTCAATTACGCCCTTGTTTCTCCTGTTATTACCGTAGCATTACCCGACAGAGCTGCAGCTAGTCACGTCTTTGTTGCACCAGATATTTCCTGTACATCTTCTTTCAGCCCTCCGGTCTTCTTTACTCGCATGTCTTAACTTTTTATCTTATCTCATCCTATTATTCCAGTTTGATATGTGGACAGCTTGACAAAACAACAGTCGGGCGTGGGAAAACCGACGCAATGAATGCGATCGAATCTCCCAAACAGTCACCCGCGCCGAATGCGCTGGCGCATTTGACCAGGGTTCCGATAGCTCAGCTTTCTCCCGACCTTGAGCAATTGGCTGAATGCTGTTTTCTGGCCGCTGTAGCACTGGTATGGCCATACTCATCTTCGACCAAGTCTGTCAGCCTTCTGTTAGCAGAGCCGGATTTCCGCCTGAGGGGCGCCAAAGGACAAATCAAGGTCACATTTCATGGAAACCTCGCAGAAAAGGTCGCGGAATCGCATGTCGGAATCGGGGATACCGTTTGTATGGCCTTGAAAGACACCAAGTTTGTTAGCAATGAAAGCACTCAGCAAACCCCAGGAAGGTCTGTCGCGTGGGATGCGCACTATGAGAATGGCGGGTCTCTCGAGGTATGTTACTCCTAGAATCGATCTGTGGCTTATAGAGATTGACTCCTGCCCATCTAGATCTACCGATCTTCCCAATCCCCGTTGATGATATCGGTTGAGCCGCAAGTGTCAGCACCGCATGAACCCGAGCTCGCACCGCCTACAACACCTAGTGGGAAGTTGATCAATCCCGAACTCGACTTACCTTCCAGTGCACGCCCCTGGGGATCACCGGTATTCCTCAAGTCTACTCGAACCTCAGTCGGAGGAACAATCCGTTCCGCTTTCGATCCTTTTGTGGAAGAAGATGGATTTGTGCCAGGGAAAGGAAGAAAAAAGCCGAGGTACAGCTTGCACAGGGAAGATTGGCGTGTTATCAATGAACCAGAAAGCCCCCATGAGCAAGAAGGGCCGGTGGATTGGGAACAGGTTTTGAATCAATCTATCGACCAAGAGCTCGAGGCAGACTTGGCGAGTGAGCCTTCAGAGGAACCAGTGACGGATGCTGCCCAAGCTCCAGCATACACAGAGGATGCACCACAAGAGCCGCTTCAACTATTTGCAAAGCCTTCCCTTGAATTTACCGGGAGCATCCTTGAAAGACGTGCCGGCGAGTCAAATATTTTGTCCCATGAACAAGTTGATAATCATGGGACACCTCTTCATCTGCCAACGGATACACCGCAGATTCGACCCATCCCTTCTCCTGGGCTTCCGGTACCTTCGCCACTCATATCTAATCATTCTGGCTCCGCAGGCTATTTCCTGCCATGGACCGCACCCACGCAGCCTGAAGACATTGAATCTGTTCCTGCGGAAGCGGAGATCACAGCAACGCTCGCAGAATCGTCCAGCGAGACCCATGATACCGATGCCATCGATCCCATTCTAACAGAGACAGCTGAGCCAGTTGATCCAGATATTGAACTCATCCAGCAAGAACATGTCCTGGATGCCGGTTTCGTCTTCCGCGATGATTCAACATCAGTTCCAGGCTCAGAAGGTTTCCCAGAAGAACGGGAAGTTGAGATAATCGACCTCCCCAGTGTCAACGATGAATCAGCCGCTCAAGCTGATTCTAATACCGAAAATCCCGCCGACGAAGCTCAAACAGATGATAAAGATGATGAACGTCTGATTGATGTCGGTTACCTATGGCGCGATGATTCAGCATCGTCTTCGCGCTCGGATGAGGACTCGGAAGATGAATCACTCGAATCCTCACAAGCAATCGATAGATCAGATAATCCTCAAGCTGATCCTGGCATCGAAACTGCTAACGAGAATGTGGGATCTCCTCAACATCCCGGTGGATCTCATGATGAGGAAAGTTCTGAGCCAGCGACTCAGTCGGTGAATTATCCCCAACCTGCCTCCGCCGTTGATCAGGATGCGATCGATGCCCTCGGAAGAATGATAGCCATTCGAGAGGAGGAACTTGAAAGGAAGAGAGATACGGACGAGGAAAAACAACGCGAAGATCATCTCGATGGATCATCTCTGGATAAAGGGGATTTCGATCGATCACCTGGTCAAGAATACACTGAAGAAAAGGATGAAGTATTTTATGCGGAGTCAGTGGAAAATTACGATTCACAAAATGAATATGAAGAGGACGAGGATGACGATGTCCATTTTGAGGCTCATTTGGAATCACAATTGGACGAAGATGACTCCAGCGATGAATCCAGCGATGAAAATTCTGAGCAAGGACAACAGCATCTGCCTGCGCAGACGGGAAAGCATGAATTAATCGTGTTGGACAGTGACAGTGATGATGAACCTGCCTCCAATCATCCTGAAGCCTCAGCTTCCCAGTCAGCAGATCGCTCATACCGCTCTGAATCTGGGCATCTGGCTGTACCCCCAGCTACAGCCAAGCTTGCAACGGGTGTACAAGAATATCCAGAGCCATGGTATGTCGATGGAGAGGGTGGCTATCATGGAGCCGTGGAAGAATATTCCGATGTTGATGAGGGCGAGGAGAGCGAAGCAAGTGAAGAGCGCGAATACAATCAACAAGATGACCAAGTTCACGAGAGTGACATGGATGATGACGAGTCAACCCAAGGCCAATATGAAACGGACTATCCATCTGAAATGGCGTCACCCGACCCTGATGAGGACGAGGATAAAGAAATGGAAGATGCGGAGCCCATCGGAGAAGCTGACAACGACGAATATTATGCTGCGACCAGAGTCGACGCACAGGTAGAAGTGGTCGTTGATCAGGACCCTGATGAGGAGCAATTGAGCAATGTTGATCCGAATTTGCTTCCTGAATCTCACCATCAAGGTCCCTCCTCGGAAATGGCATCACCCAACCCTGAGCAGGACAAAGACAAAGAAATGGAAGATGCGGACCTCATCGAAGAAGCTGACAACGACGAATCTGATGCCGCGGCCAAACTTGACGCACGGATAGAAGTGGCAGTTGATTGGGACGCTGACGAGGAGGAACCAAGCCCTGTCGATCCAAATTTGTTTGATATGTCTGAATCTCATCATCGGGGCCCATCCTTGGAAATGGAAAGCCATGCTGAGCAGACTATCAGTGGGATTCCTTTATCTCCCGGAAATGTTATGGCCGATTCTCTGTCGACACATGAACCGACCATCGGAGGACCTGAGCCTCTTGGCGGTCGAGTTTCGCCGTCAGTTATTCCTCCATTTGAGCGACAGCTCCTAACCCCAGACCCCACGCAGGAAAATGCATCTGCACGTGAACTGGGTTATGATATTCAACCTGAAATTCCATTCACGATCGAAGAAAATGAACCTCCTACTAGTCTGGATGGAATGTCACAGCCTGCGGGCTCCCCGGAGTCTGAACAAAATGACGATATCAGTGCAGAACCCATGAAAGATACCCAACAAGAGATGCACGTTGACGAACATGACGATGTCTTGGCTCCTTCGGAACTCGCCGAAGCTGCGGAACCTCCAGCAACGCCCGAACCCGGCCGCTCTGTGGAGGTTGTTATCAGCACCGAATCTCCAAGAACACCGGCAGTTCCCGTTGCACAGCCTGCATTTCCCGACCGTAATGCCTGTGGACTACGTAGCAAGCTTTCCTACTTTGCCCCGCTTGCTACACTCATCGATCATTACGATACTTTGGTCGATACCATCTCAATCGTGCACGAGGCTTCGCTAATAACCCGAACCAAATCCGGTTCGAAAGACTGGTTCGTGACTATTCAACTTACTGATCCCTCCATGGCTGGCACGACTCTTCATGCTCAGATTTTCCGGCGATACAAGGCCTCAATGCCGTCATTGGTTGAAGGTACCGCCATACTCTTACGTGACTTCAAGGTCCGGAGCCTCGATCACACCATGATGCTTGTCAGCGTGGATTCCAGCGCATGGGCCGTATTCGACGGATCTGGTCCCGATGCCGAGACGAACGGGCCCCCTGTAGAATATGGCTCGCAGGAACGTGCCTACGCGTCTGGCTTACGTCGGTGGTATGAGGAAGTTGGCTCGGATAGGGTCGCAGACCGTATGCTCCAGGAAGCTATCGCAAGAGACAGTCAGGAGCGCGATGTGACACCAAGCAGCCAAGTGCCAAGCGAATCAGGGAGCCCAGATTCCAGACGAGGCTCCCAGCGTAAGCGCAAAAGCAATCGCCGAGTCACTATCCATGAGCTGCGGGATGGTACTCGTTATACCGAGGTCGGGTCCCCAAACAGTCGAAACAGCAGTGTTCACGAGTTACGCGACGGAACGTTGTATGCCAATATTTGAAATGGTTGTGTTGATATCTTGATGCTTGACGTGCTATCTCCGTCACAATGCACATGTACCTACGGAGTAAAACAAAATAATTCACATGAACAAATCAAATTCTTTTCAGTGTATTTAAGTGACTACCTACACGTAGCTAGCTACCTGTAAAGTCCACACCTCCGAAGTTCACTAACCATATATGCATTCCCACGCGCCTATTTCTTCCTAGCATGACCTAGAAGGACTCGATCTCTTCTATGCAGTTGTAATCCAACCATCCATCACATCCGCTCTCTACCTGTAAAGCTACCCTGACAGAACCATTTTGCCCTCACTTTGGTACAACGTCACCCTCTCAGTCTCCGACACTTCATCGCTCTGTGGCTTCTCGTTCTGGCCATTCTTATACACAGATAAGAGTGGCATCGTATCATTCTTCCATGTGGGAATCCTAGCTTTGCGGGTCTTCCACATGGTGCCTAATAATGTGACAAAGCCCAGTAGCCACACCAACACCGGAAGAATGATCCACTGCCAATGGATGGAAACATGTGTCATGCTCGTCATTGCCTGGCCGGTCGTATTAGCCTGGTTAAAAGAAGACGGCGTATCGCGAATGGTTTTTGACATTGCTCCAGCGACATTATCCATAGCACAGTGCATCTGCTTGGCAGTTCCACCCGCGCAACCAGTGATGTTCGAAAGCGCGATAAGCTGTATCAAATCTGCACTCGCATATTGATATGGAACGCTCTTGGGTAAAAAGTGGAAACCAAAAGGGTCGAGCTGTGCTCGGCCGGCGAAGAAGTCTTGAAAGAAATATCGTATCGCTGTAAGGGTCCGTTTGTATATCAGAAAATCTCTATTTTTCTCAACACCCATATCCGGCCCCCAGGGGGGATGCATATGGTAGTTACTACCCATGAAGAGACTTTCGAAAGATCCGTTCTTCGATATGCCCAGGGTTTCTTCGTGATAGACGCCCCGCCTGACTGTTGGGCGAAAGCTGTGCACGACAGGATCAATGCTGCATTCGATTGCTTGCCATTTAGGCTGTATCTTCGAATCAAGTGCCCATAACTCTTCAACCGGTAGCAGGTTATCTGGGGCCACAAGTTGGATAGGAGTTATGATGCTGTTTGTGTAGATCAAAGGTTCCACCGATCCTATAGAGACTGGCGCACCCCAGAGTGTACCCGAATCCTGAACATAGGCAGAAATATTACTACTGCTATCTTTAAGATAAACAGTGCAGATCTTGTATGATGAATCCAGTTTCTTGCCCTCTAGGATATTGTCACATTTGGTTTTCAGTCGGTCTGTTATGTTCGTGCAACTCGCCCTCATTTCCAGTGTAGCAATTGGATCCCAGGTACAGTTTCCTGAGCTACAGGTGTACCGTGGAGTGTGCCATGGCTTTGACGAATCGCTGTTGAATAGCGAATTGTAGATATTCGCTTTCATTGCCGGATCAAGATAGTACGCCGCTATCCACGTAGGTTAGCTACATGCAGGTCAACGGAATCCCACATATCCTCTTACCATTATTTAATGGAGGACCTAAAGCGTCGTATGCAGGGTTGCTAGACACGATTGCAGTCCCTGTGGGGTCGACAATGAGTTTAGGATAGTAGTGGATCAAATTTTGGACAAAGGGGTCAAAGGCGATCGCGAGGATGACAGCTAGACTGCCAAAGGCTGCAAAATGTCTATATCCATAAGCCTCTAGTATAGAGGCAACCACGAGGATATACATACTTTGCTCGTTGTCTCCAAACTAAGGCTGCACAGCCCCATAGCCCCCGGCTGGCCCCATCGAAGATACTCAGATCAACCAAGGGTCGACTTTTTCGTGTGAACCACACCCACTTAAGCTGTCCTATTCCCTCGCTGATAGAGAACAAGACACATCCTTTCGAGACTGTGCTTAACCAGGAGATTACCGAATTCAGTGATAGCATCCAGCTCGGTTGAGGACGATCATCGTACTGTGTCAATATCACAACGATTGCGACCAGAAGGCCCGATGATAAAACCATGGCCAGTATCTCCCAGATAAACAAGTCCGAGATAAGCTTCCATATGGTTGGTTTTGCTTTAAGTATGTGATCCGGTACAAGCGGTTCATTTGCTGGTTCGGAATGAGGCTCAACGGGGAGGATCCTGGGGGATTGCAGGGGCAATTGTGGCCTGTTTGCTTCTCCATGAGCAATTCCATGCTCTCCAAGCTCTCCATGCTCTCCATGCTCTCCTAAGTCTTGGTTTGGATTCATTTCGAAGAGATCGCTACGGATGAAAACATCAGAGTGTGGGAAATTTAGGTGGTGACACACGCTAAGTTCTTAAGGAGCAGACTAGCGCCCCCAATGTAACATGCATATCATTTCCTTTTGGCATACAGCCTACATGAGGCTATGCAGGGCTGTGCTTACGAGAAAGCAATTCTCGCAAAATAACATTGTCCTTTAGCCATTTCATCTGAATAGATAAGAATCGGGTAGAATACGAATCTTGAATTTCCAAGCTAATTGCGAAGGCATTCATGTCGTTGAATCCTTGTCGAGATTGACCTACTCGGCCTGTCTGATTAGACCAACTCGACCAGAGTTGCAGGTAATTGACATTTGTGGAATTGATAAAAGTCGGTTTTTTGATTATCAACGGTTTGGGGAAGTAAATATTCAGGACAAGATGCAACGAAGGAAACGGGTCGAAAGTGGATCCCGAGTGGATTTACTGTAGGTGGCTTGGTATGCTTCGGACTAATACTTCGAGAACGCAAAAGATGTCAGGGATTCTTGTGAGTTGGGATTCTCAAACACCCGCAAAGGATGAATACATAAAGCACTAGTGCCGCATAAAGACCCAAAACCACGCAACATGATGATCGTCAAGGATAGTACAGAGAGAGCAGTTTGGACAGATTTTGATCGAGCCCAGACATACAACAAAGATCAAATCACTGCGGAAGAAGATCTTATCAAGGAGGAAGCGATTGTCATGGAATTCAATGCCATAGTGAGTGCGCCGACGATGACATATGGTGAAGCTTTCACTAATCGCTGTTGATGTCGAGAAAGGGAAGTTTGATGAAATATACTTATTTTACTTCGGCTCGTGATACATAGTCTTTTTCCCGAAGACAATGCAAGAGTGACAAAGATATAACGCTGGCAACCAAACATGATTATATGCGTTCGGTGGTTTGAACAGATTTTGAACAGAAAACAGAGTACGAGACTTCCATGTGCATACGCGATTTCAAATATTCCCTACAAGAAGAAGCTGTCTTCCAATAGATAGTGAACGTCTAACTTCATCAATGGTATATATGGTGGCTTGGCACAGTTATCAAAAGAAGCATCATTTTACATCTTGGACTGTTTCTCTGCCGCAAAATATTCTGCGCTCACAGCAGCCTTGATCAACTGATTGGCAATGGCCGTAGGAGGGGGCAAACGCAAGCCACCCTTGTATTCCGGACCAGCCGGAGCGCTCAAGTCACTTGTACCAATGCGCAGCGCCTCCTCCACCTCCTCAATCTCAAACCACCGCGCATCCTCCAGCTCAGGATCGTGCTGTAAAGAGATAGTCTCATGAGCAGGGTCACTGACCTGGGCAATAGCACCAATCATCAAATTAGCCGGATACGGCCAAGGCTGCGAGGAGTGGATCACAACGCGGGACAAAGTGACACCTGATTCCTCCCACACCTCTCTCCGGACAGCATCCTCAATTGACTCAGCTGGCTCAATAAATCCAGCCAAGGTGGAATACCACCCTGGCGGGAATCGCTTGGAGCGCCCGAGCAGTATCCGCTTGCCGTCGGCGGAAACCACTGCCACGATGATAGTCGGATCAGTACGAGGGAAGCAAAGGTTTGACAACGTAGTACGGGTATTGCATTCCGGACGTTCTTCCGTCTTGGCCTCGGTTGCTCGTGCAACATCTGTCGGTGGGCAGGCACGCTTGGTTCCTGCATTCACCGCCAAAGTACGGTGGCCGCATGTACCACAGAAGATATTGCGAGTGTTCCAGTCCATCAACGCACGTGCCTGTGCGTAGATAGCAGCTATCCCAAATTTATTAGTTCTCTTTTGTCCATGTATATATCACCAGCGTGTTTCCATACCTTCATCTGCGGAGAACGACATGACAACTCGTGCTTGGAAGAAAGACAGTCCCTTCTCCTTCGTGGCATTGATCACATCCTTCGCTGCAACCTGCTGCTCTTCGGAGCCCTTGGGGGTCACATCGACTGCGAAATACGGCGTGCCAGAGTAGATCTTCCATGCCATCCCCCCTTCTTTGCGACTCTCGTCCAGTCCAAGGAATATAAGGGTCGGGTGTGACTTGCGCGAATCATAGTTTTTGATCATATCTTCCTCGGAAGTATCAAAGATATCCTGGGGCACAAGCTTGCGCACCTCGTCATACTTGGCATAGTATAGCTGTGCCGGCGACGGAGTCAAGGGCGCTAGGTTGTTCAACAAAACAAACCGGGCTGAAGGGTGCTTCAGGGCCGTGGACAGGAACGTGTGGTCGGAGCGCAAGAACGATAAACGGTTGATTGGAGAGCCTGCAAGTTCTTTAGCTCTATTTCACCTCATATATTAAAGTACAAAATCATCCTTACTGGAGAAGTAATTGACCGTCTCTTTGCCGAACTGTCGGGACAACATGGAATCCGCAAGCATATGAGCCGGGGTAGGGATCTGAGGGGTTGTGCTCATTCTGTAAGGGCTAGGTTGCCAATAATAAATGTGTAATATGATAATGATATCAACAAGAAAGAGATCGGCCAGTAATGAGTCTTATGTCTATATAAAATATGTATTAAGAAGAACGTGGAAACCAGGACAGCCCTGGTGGGCGCCCAGGAATCGCATTAATCAGCAGCTAGCGGTCCCTCCTCGGCACCACGTGTGCAAACTGATTACACGTTTTTGTTCGGAGTTAAGCCGAGAATACCGATAATAGAATAGATTACAGTAACTTGCAGTATTTTATTACCAGCGAAGCGGGGGAACCTGAGCTCCCCACACACGTGACCACATTCTTTTGACTCTTATCGCCGACGAGCCTCTGTGCGAAGAACACGAACCGGGCATCTCTGTCATATTCGGCATCATGGGGCACCTTGTCACTCTAGCAACATGGTGAGGCCGACCTATCTATTATCCGGACGCTAGAAGCCCCGCGCTAACTCGTTCTAGCTCTTTGAACCAGTGGGCTCTCGACTTTGAGGGCAACGCGGAGCGCATCATTGAGAGCATTAGGCAAGCTAAGGCTGCCGGTGCCACTTTACGCGTTGGACCAGAGCTTGAGATTACTGGCTATGGAGTTCTGGATGGTTTCCTTGAAGGCGACACCTTTTTGCACTCATGGGAAATGCTTGCCCGCATCATCGACCACCCGGATTGCCAGGATATTGTGGTTGATGTCGGATTGCCGGTTCGCCATCGCAATGTCCGTTACAACTGTCGGTGGGTATTTCCGATGCAACTAGTATCGCATTAGCTGACATATACTCTTAGTGTGATTTTCTACAACCGGAAGATCATCCTGATTAGGCCGAAGATGTGGCTTGCCAATGGTTCGTTCAGTTACTCTCTATACTTCTGAGAACAGTTGCTAATATTAGTTTTTATTCTAGATGGTAACTATCGCGAGCACCGACACTTTACACCATGGCAGCGTCCACAGGAGGTGGAAGACTACTATCTGGAATCCATTGTCGGCAAAGTTACTGGCCAGTACAAGGTTCCATTCGGTGATGCCGTTATTAGCACGAGAGATACATGTCTGGGTCTTGAGACGTGTGAGGAGCTGTTTACCCCTAATGGGTATGTGTTGAACTCTCTCTGTGGCTCTGGATGCTAACAATCGAATTTAGCCCTCACGTTCCATATGGCCTAGCTGGTAAGTCTCGAAGTTCAAACGACCGCACTCATTATCTAATGCGAATCAGGTGTTGAGATTATCTCCAATTCTTCGGGCAGCCACCACGAACTGAAGAAGCTTGACACCCGTATCAATTTGATCACCCAAGCTACCAAACTGGTGAGTAGAAAACAACACTACAATAGTGTAGTACCTTTCTTACACCTTACAGAGTGGTGGAATCTATCTTTATGCCAATCAGCAAGGCTGCGATGGTGATCGTCTGTACTATGATGGATGTGCTATGATCGTCGTCAACGGTGACATCGTGGCCCAAGGTTCACAGTTCTCTCTGAATGACGTGGAAGTCGTCACGGCAACAGTCGACATCGAAGAAGTCCGCACCTACCGGTGCAGCGCAAGCCGTGGAATGCAAGCGAGCAAGCAGTCGCCCTATGTCCGCCTTGATCTTGACATCAGACTTTCTCGCCGGGATGAAGACGCCGAGCCCAGCCTAGCGACTTCCCAGCCTATCAAGCCACGGTACCATTCTCCCGAGGAGGAGATTGCTCTGGGACCTGCCTGCTGGCTATGGGATTACCTCCGGAGATGTGGAGCCGCCGGTTTCTTCCTTCCTCTAAGCGGTGGTATTGACAGCTGTGCCACTGCAACCATCGTGCACTCCATGTGCCGCGAAGTTCTCAAAGCAGTGGGAGAAGGAAACGAGCAGGTCATCATGGATGTCCGCCGGCTATGTGCGAAGCCAGCAGATTCGGACTGGCTTCCTACCACCACCCAGGAAATTTGCAAGTAAGTCTTCCAAGTGTTGAGCGTCTATCAGACCAAATTCATTTCCTGTCGTCGTAATGTGGGGAAATATTGACCAAATTTGCTAGATCTATCTTCCATACCAGCTACATGGGCACACAAAACTCGGGCCGGGAGACACGAGACAGAGCTACTCGCCTGGCCAATGATATTGGGTCTTACCACATTGACTTCAACTTCGATACTGTGGTCACTTCTATCATGAATCTCTTCACTGTTATCACTAACTTCCAGCCTCGGTTCAAAATGCACGGTGGATCCCCTGCGGAGAATGTCGCGCTTCAGAATGTGCAGGCTCGGATGAGAATGGTTCTCTCATACCTGTTTGCCTCGTTACTGCCGACTGTGCGTCAACGCCCTGGTGGTGGTGGCTTGCTTGTTCTCGCATCATCTAACGTCGATGGTAAGGCTATCACACACGAACATCGTACCTTGTTGAACATATTCACTAACCGTTGATACAGAATGGTACGCCACATAAATGCACTAATTAGCTTCCTGTAACTGACTGTCCCCATCTAGTTTGCGAGGCTATCTCACCAAGTACGATGCCAGTTCCGCCGATGTAAGCATCAGTTTCCCCAATTCCAAGAACCATTATGTTCCAGACTAACGCAAACAACCAGCTCAACCCCATCGGTTCCATAAGCAAAGTCGACCTTAAGAAATTCATTTCCTGGTCCGGCCGAAGCTTTGGCCTCCCGATTCTCGAAGAATTCATCCACGCAACACCCACCGCCGAGCTAGAACCCATCACCCACGACTACGTCCAATCTGACGAAGCCGACATGGGCGTTACGTACGCGCAGCTGGGCGTTTTTGGTTACTTGAGAAAGGTCTCCAAGCTAGGCCCGTACTCTATGTACGAGAAGCTGCTCCACCTGTGGGGCAACGAGTACAGCCCGCGCGAGATCTACGAGAAGACCCGCCATTTCTTCTACTATTACTCTATCAACAGACACAAGATGACTGTTCTTACGCCTAGCTATCATGCTGAGCAGTACTCGCCCGATGACAATCGTCATGATCTAAGGCAGTTCCTTTGTAAGTTTTCTCATTCTTGGGTTTGTAGGTTGCATGCTAACCTGACTGTGTAGACCCGCCCTTTACTTGGGCGTACAAGAAGATGGAAGATAACGTTAAGTACTGGGAATCGAAGGGATGGACTACTGGCAAGGGAGGGAAGAAGAGTGTTAAGGCTGATTAAACGTAGATTGTCTAGGTTTGGGGGTTTTCAAGATGTTTGTGTACCTAGGTATTGCTTGATATTAAAGCCGCTATGGCAATTAAGATTGGGTAATTTGTGAATTACGGGCTATTTTCTACAAGATATCAAACTAGCTGGGATTTGCTTTTCTATGCGGCAGGGGAAAAGGCAATAATTGAATGTACACACAGCCGAGCGTGAAACCAGATATGGAAGCAAATGGGAAGGAGACTATTGAAAGGATATCCAAGACCGCATAAGCGGCTGATTATACAAAAACATAAAAACTTCCCTATACTTCGGAGGTTGAACTATAGTTCTTGGCTTTAGCTGCAGTGGGGCTCTAACCTTGGAATGACGCCAGCGGCTCAACGCAATTGTGTTTGTATAGGGCACATAAGCACTATGTTTGTTAAAGAGTTTTTTTTTCAATCAAGTCAGAATAAAGAAAAAGTAGAGAGTGTCATATATTGTAGACTCATGCAGAGGAATCGGGGAACAAAGCCACATTGAAACAAGGCAAAAGACAAAAATACATTGGGGATCACGTGGCGTTGAGTGGGGCTCCCCAACATGTATTCAACTCTGCATTCAACTCTCTCTTCACTTTTCCAACCTGCCAAGGTAGTATTGCTATTCTTTGATCTTATTATCATGGGCAACGAAAACATCAACCGCAGGGACGATTCAACCCATAAGAACTGGTCTGATGATGAGAGCAACCCGTTCGTCGCCTTCCGGCGCTACGCCGATGAGCAGGTCTCCACCATGCTTCAATCTATCACAGGCCTCCCTTCAATGCTGACGCAACCTCACAACGGCCACTGGGATATATTTGTGGATAACCACGGCTATGATAATCGGTTGATTCGCCAAAGAACCGGTGATACTACGAACAGCTATCCAGACCGCGACAGTGGTGGTTATCTGAGCAACGGAGATGGAGATGATCCACGCAATGGAAATCACTCACCGCGCTGGCCTGAGAACGGTGATTCGTCACACTCTCAATCCCAGAGAAAGTCATGTAATGGACCGTCCGACTTCTTTGGCCTCGATTCCTTCTTCGACCGGTTCTGGCTTGAGGACCGCTTCTTCCCCTTTGCATCGCAACTCCTACACTCCGGCCACAACCTTCTCGTCCGAGATATGTTCGAGGACACTGACTCGCCAACCTGGCCGATCGCGTATATCATGTTCAGCCCGTACTCGCCTCTCCATCTAGAACAACAAGCATATTACCAAGCACACCGTGAAAAGGGTGTTTTCTCATCTATCATGTCCTCTTTACATCTTAACTCCGACCGTGATCCATCCGAACCACAGTGGCGGGAAGCCTTCGAGGATTTACTTCGACTCGAGAACGATAAGCCGATGCTCGATCGCAATGCCTCCGTCACGAGATCCGAGGCCGGAAAGGATTGGATACAAGGGCTTGTGAAAAGAGGCAGCTTGGGAGATAAGTGGAAATTTGTGAACGGCAGAGAGGGTCAACCTTGGTCGGGCATCACGTTCTCCGGTGCAGGCCCAGAGCAGAACCAGTCTCGCTCTTGGTCTTTACCCGAGAAAGAGAAGGAATCCGCAGATACGGAGGCTGTTAGCGAGCTGGATCTGTATGAACGCTTCTTGCACGATATCGAAAATCGCGAACGTGAGTTCTTCCGCGGTGCCTCCGAAAGCCCTCTTCTGCGTCTCCTCCTTGAGGAGCGACGACAGCAACAGGAAGAACTTGAGAAATATAGACGCAGCCCTTCAAGGTTTGATGGGCACAGCCGTGATGATAATGAGAATTGGATCGATCTTGTGTCTGGGGGAAACAAAAAATCAGTCCCTGAAACAGCCAAGGATTTGCCGACCGAGATCGATACCAAGCCAACTGAAGTTGTCTCGGAAGAGCAGCCTCGTATCATCTCCACTATGACTCGAACGGAACGTGTGCGGCTTCCTGATGGCTCGGTTGAGAGCAAGATTGTCAACACGAAGCGTTTCGCAGATGGCCGAGAGGAAAGGGACGAGTCTGTTGAGGTGTCTCATCCTCAGGAAGGTTACAAGCCTGAGTCCGATACGTCGAAGAACGGTTGGTTCTGGAAAGACTAGGACTGAACTTTGGACAATATCTACGACAAAACCCCAGCTATGACCTTTAATATAACCCCTTTTATGTATGACTCTTTCAGCGTGTTTCCTCGATTTATGATTTGCATGTTCCACTGTTTTTCCGGATGTCATTCTCTTTTTTTGTTTGCTTCCCTGGCTTCGAACCACCTGGCTCTGTGTACATTTACTTATTGCCTTTCCCCTGCCGTGTGGAAAAGTAAATCCTAGCTAGTCTACCTATCACCATAAACAAGAATAGTTGGTATTAAGACATTTTGGGCTACATATACGTAGGACAAGAATTAGCTCCAAAATATAGTTACATGAATACGGGCGGTAAAAACATCTTAAAATACAGAAAACGACTTCACACGTATTACATTCTGGGAAATGTTGCAAAGAAAATATAACAAATATTCTGAAGACAGCATATTATCCATCTCACATATGCGCCTGCTGAGGCTCCCAAGCTTCATCAAATCCAGCAGAACGGACCCACATCGGTCGATCTCCCTCCTCGACAGTAGAGTCAACAGCTATCTAGCAGTCAGTAAGGTGTCAAATGAGCAGATGCAATAAATGGCAATTCCTGCTGCTTACCTATATTCCCAATCCTAAGCCACATATCCCCCTTGATCGGCATCTCAGGATGTTTACTCTCATATGCTTGACAGACATGCTGACCATGCGCCAAAGCCCGTGCAAGCTTAGCTAGATGTCCATCATCACCAGGATGGGCGATACTTCGCGCGAAAATCCGTGACCAGTCTTCCTTCACGGGATAATTGGTCACCTCATCCAGCAGAAGATCGGGCGTTCCACGTGAAATATACATCAAGAGATCCATGCGTCCCTTCCATTCCAGCATGCGTAGCTTGGATTTCTGGTCCAGGAATGGGAGGTTGATGATTCTGGAAAAGAAGATGGATGAATTGAGACAATGGATGAAGAAGAAATCAATCCTCATCTCTCTGGTCGGACGCTGCGCGGCACTGGTATAGTAGGCTGAGATGAATTTAGTGATCGTTTCTCACTCACCAATACCAGCATACTTCCAAGGACTTACCGACTGTATTGATCATATCCGCCAACCGCTCCTCCGCCTGATCCTCAGACACCGTAAATTGAGAAGCATACTTGAGCATCTTCTCCGGTGCTCTGTGGAGCACTCCATCCTTGATCTTGTTACTGTCAGACCACTTGACACTCTCAATAAGAGTCTTATCCGCGCGCGTCTCATTCAGGAGCTGAAGCAGCGACTTCTGTCCCGGCTTTCCGATACCATCGGCCATTTTCTCAGCGGGTAAGAAGAAGGCACGACCAAGCCAGTCATCGTGCACAGCTGCCTGTGCAAGACCTTGAGCTACAATGGCAGGTTGGCTGAATTCTATACCGAAACCGAGGTGGATGAGCGGGTGGAGGAGGCCTGGATGGGTTAGCCCGGAGCATGCAACACCAATGTTCAATATGACCCATAACTAGAAGAAAACACTTACCGCCAAACAAGCGACACATCATGCTCTCCGCTCGCTCATCCCTGGCGAAGACATACTCCATCAGAACCTCAGCAATGCCCTTCGCATCGATCTCATGCTGGAAGAAGGCTAGGTAGTTGGGGTAATGTTCTTCCTTCCCGAAATACTTCTGGAATTCGACGAAATCATGCATGGATTTGATGACATCTTGGCTTGCTGGAATAACGGGTCTTTGATAAGTCTTATTCCGCTCATAGCAAGACTTGATATCATCTGGCGATGCGCCAAGAGCGTAGATACTAAGAAGCTGGTGAGGTATGTGATCTGTGTCTGTATTAGAGATGGTTTTTGGTGCGGGATGTCTGAAAATCACATACTATGGAACCTCTCCTGATTGAAGAAGACGTGGTGGATGGCCAAATCTTCTTGCAAGATCTCGCTCACTGTCCGCGCACTGTCTTCCCTCACATTTGAGCTGTAAATGCCCAAGTCTGTCACCGGGGACAGATGGATCTTAGTAGCGGTGGCCATTGTAGATGGGGTATTGCGGAACAGGTTCCCGGTGGAACTATACGAGCTGTACTGCGCGGCTAGTCGCGGAAGGGGTGGAGTAAGAAATGCTGAAGCAGAAGAGCAACTTGTTTGAAATGGTGGATTTAGACTGGAATAGTAGCGAGCACTATTCAGGAGAAGTTGAGACTGTGTAGCTGTAGACTTTGATCGAAATAGATGATGTTTGTGGCACTGGATAGAACGGGGAAGCATGTCCTTTATATAGCTCACACCCGGGATGTAGTAGGAATCTGTACAACTGTCAGACCTCGAGAATCCTCTGGAAAATCCAACCCATAGCCTATCACGGTCGTACAATTATTCAGAAGTAAAATGCATAGAAATCGGGGCCTGGGGGATTTGCTGTCACCCCACGTCATGGGGCTCTGGACACAGGGTGGAGGCGTTATCCAGACCGGTCTTGTTGGCTTTCTTACTAATTGATTATAAAGGTTCTAAGCCTAGCCCTGGATGCTCTATATCACATATCGTATAACACATAACGTGTCTTTTTTTTTTAATTTATTTCTGCTTTTTAGATAATTTAGGGGTATCTGTCATTCTGGGGTGCACAAGAAACGTCAATTACACGCCCAAGTAAAATGAAAAAAAAAAGCATTCTTTCTACTCCTCGGTCTCTCTCTCCTTCTTGCGACGTTGTCGGTCTCGTTCCATCTTCTTGAACAACGGGTGGTGCCCTTTATCCTTGAGCTGCTTGTTCCTGCTCTTGTTGTACTCGATATAAGCCATATCCTCACCACCAGCCAGACCGCTAAGAGTAGTAGCACTGCGTTTAGCACCGCCTTTCTTGGCCGTCACTCGCTTGCCGGAGCGCATCGAAAACAGATCATCATTGACCTGTTCGACGTCGGCAGATGACTCATTCTGCAGCATGACTTCTTGCAGAAGCTCGCGGCGTTCCGCTGGCGTCGAGTACGAGAGTCCTTCGTAATTATCTATGCCTTGGAGATGGGTGATGACCTTGAAAGCATAACCCTGATCGATCAGGAATGCCTGGCGTTTGGCCGAGTAGACCATCTCATTAGTGTCCTTGGACACGAGCGAGTAGAAGAAGGCATTGAAGCCCTCGTCGTTTCGACGCTTGGCTCGCAGGATTCGTCCCAGGCGCTGAGCCTCCTGACGACGTGAACCGTAGTGAGACGAGATCTGAATCAGACAAGTGGCCTCGGGAAGATCGAGTGAGGTATCACCAATCTTGGACAGGAAGATAGTGTTGACCTGCTCATTGTGTTGGAAATTCTCCAAGATACGCATGCGCTCATTTTGAGGAGTTCCACCGTAAATGTAAGCCTTGTTCAGCTTGAGCGCATATCGCTCGAGAGCGTAGACATTGTCAGAGAACACGATGATCTTATCGCCGCGCTTCTCGTGGAAATCGATCAGGAACTGACACGCTTGGAACTTGCGAGGGTTCATGATGTATAGCAGAGCTTGTTTCCTGGAACTTTCCCGCAGATACTCCGAGTAGAACTCGGTCGTCATCGGGCACCACACCTCGGCACATTGGACCTTGGCGATGTGGCCCTGTGCAGCCAGTTCCATCCAGTTTGCTTCGTAGAGTTTCGGTCCGATCAAGAAGTTCAAATCTTTGATCTTATCATCCTCACGAAGTAGTGTTGCGGTGAGACCAAGCTTGCTTTGTGCGGCGATTGCAGATGTGACCTTTCGGAACATCGATGCCGGCACGACGTGCACCTCGTCAAGGATCATCATACCCCATTCTCTCGATTGAAGCCAGTCCATCATCTTCTGGGCATCATAAGACCGGGCACGGGTCTGTGACACCATTGAGTATGTGGACACAATGATACCAGTTGATCGCTTGAATTTTTCTTTATGGTCCGACGTGAAAATGGCGATATCACCCGGGTCGATGGTTGTCCACCGCAAGAACTCGTTTCGCCACTGAACCACAGACATGGAACTGGTGCAGAGGACAATGGTGCCTTTCTTGATGGTCGCAGCGGCAGTGATACCCACAAGGGTTTTACCGGCACCACAAGGAAGCACAATGATACCACTCTTGGCTCGTCCGTTACCGAACATTTTACTTAAGCTCTTCTCCTGATAGGACCGAATCCGCGCCGCGGGTTTTAAATCCATATCCAGGTTTGGATTGACTGTATCTCCTTGGAAATCGTACTCTTCCAACGCAGGACATCCGATCGATTGGCAGCGGGCCTTGACCACCTCGACACCAGCAGCGGGGATTTCGAAACTGTACGTTATTGCTTCTTCAGTCTCATCCTCGCCAATGTCGTCGATGCCATAGTTCACGGCTCCTCCTTCTTCGGTCTCGTCTCGAGCTACGGCAGCGGCAGCCTCCTGTTGAGTGGTCTCTCGTACACCAGCTGCATCTTTCGTTCCAGGAATGACAAGACCACCCATTTTCGGAGCAGCCCGTTCGATAATTCCTTCGGTATTATCCATTCTCTGGGGGCCAATCACTTCATCTTTCAGCAACCGCTGAAGCATTTCAGGATCTGTCGTTTCCACATAGTATCGATTATGCCTCAACACCATCTTGATTTTTCCGTAGGACTTTGTGAACTCGATGATGAACGTCCGAATGCTTTCGGGCAGCGGCGTTTTCGATAGACGGTCCAAGAACTCAACGATATCCTGCGGTTTCAGACCGACCGAGACCGCCGCATATAAACTGTGTCCGGTCAAGCGATATTCATGGAGATGGGTCGGACGGGAAAGCGGTTCCGCAATGGTGGTCAGGAAATCTTGGGCCTGGGGCGCCAGCGGGGAGAAACTCTCAAGGGTGATTGTGCCTTTCAAAGGTTCGATCCATAACGGCCGGTTGTAGTGGTCGCGCTTCAGCGGGAGCGAAGAAAGATCTTTGTATCCAAATCTGGGGTCCGTCTTCTCCACCTGATTCTTCTTGCCGAATGCCTCGAGAGAGAACTTATTGACGACCGCTTTAGGCTCCAATTTTAGTCCCTGGTTCACTTTAGGTGAGCAGACTGCCACACTGTACCTTTCAAGCTGGATTCCTCCGGTAACTCTTCCTGGTCCGAGTATTCATCGCTGCTGGAAATGTCGGGGACTGGTGTGGCTCGTTTGGAAGCACCGCTAGACCGACCGGCTGTGTATAATCAGTCACCTGTCGTTTGGATATATGCACCGGATACTTACTGTCGGCCGCTTTGCGTTTGGGAGGCATATTTGATCTGGTTCAGTGAGACAAAAAAATGAGTGTGCTGAGCAAAGAGTACCCCAGTGAGTGAGCGTCTAGTGAGACGGAGCGACGCCCCCGTTGAAGGTATCTCACTCCAGCATGGAACCAAGATGCTGCGCCGGATGAATAGGCGGCGAAAAAAAGATCGACAGTTTATTGCGGAGCAACGAGATAAGTGTCGGTGCGACAGAGAAGAAATCTTCAGTGGGAGTGGGATGTCGCCGAGAGCGACGATATATATAGGATGGAGAAAATATCAAGGCAGAAGTCGTCCTTAATTCCCAAAGACGATGCGCGGGTTGATAATCCTGGCCTGAGGCACCAAGTACGGTCCGTGCATAGCCGCTCAACTGACGTAGAGCAGAATCCTTTTCCCGATGCCGGTTACTTCTCACAACCAACTACCAAAGTGTACATCATGAATACGGTAATTTTCTCTGTTCAATGCCTCTTGAATCTTGCTAATTATGTTACCTTATAGATCCGATCTACCTGGTGAGCGAAGATACCTCTACTTGAATGAAATACGAACCTGGAACATAATTACTGATGTGGCTCTCACTTGAACAGGATGGGCTGGGGCACCCTTTGCCTTGGTATGTGACCTATCAATTACTGGCCAAGGACCAGTGACAATTTTAGTGAATCATACGTAAAGACTAACCACATCCCTATAGCCGGCGGCGGAGCATACTATTTCGCAAAGCAATCCATCAATGCCGACCGACAAGCCCGATTCGAAGCCGAAGTCAAGCGCAAGGCCCAAATGAAGCGCATGGAGGATGAGCATAAGCGCCAAGCGCAAGTTCCCACATCAGCCCCGGGCAACACTAGCTCGAAGCAAGCAAGCGTGGCACCATTGTCGAACGCCCCCGACGACGCCGCCTTGCCTAGTCTCGAAGCTTCTCACGATCCGGCGCCCACTCGGCACGAACCCTTGACCGAGACTGAGCGTGTGTTGGAGAAGGGGAAGTACGAAACGGCCCAGCCCTACCGGCCTCCTAGTGGGAACCGGTTTAGCTAAACGGCTGGCGCGTTGTATATTTCGATACGGAATACTCCGTACGCAAAGTTAAAAATAGAAGATTGTGGCATAAAGTGAATATGGAGACGCGGAGTTCCTCGGACCCGATCTACTTTGTACTACATTTGGTTCGTTCAATGGTAGCACCTCACCCGAGATACGAGTCAATTTAATAATGGATCAATTCGCGCACAGCTGGCTGTCTAATGACCTATGTCTTTCACGGAAATGATAGAGATCTAACCATCTCCACTCTCAATAGTAACAATTTATCATAATAGCACCGTCCCATAGTGCTAACCAATGGAGAACCCAAACGCCGATTTCCAAACTCCTTGGGCATAATGCATCATATCGCAAGCTTGGTGTGTGTCAGCGCCTGCACTGACAGTCTCCGTCAAGATTGTGACTCGTTAACAGTATCGCAACTAGCGCGCATGGAAGCAAAGTGGAGGGTTCCTGTATGTCGAGTTAGTTTCTTTCAAACCAGCTTGACATTGCAAGAATATAACGTTTTTCAAGACTTACTTGGCGCTAGTAGAGATGCCCGAGCTCCGTTGTCGCGAGCTTTCCAGAGCAGGTGGAACAAATGGAAGTACCACACCGGAAACTATGCAACCCATAGCAACAGCGCGGGCAGCGCGAGAGTCAGGACGAGGACGGTGGGCAGAGAAGTGGCGGATGGAAGGGCGTGCGATTTGGGATGCGATGGAAGCCATAGTGTAGAACAGTCTTGAGTGTGATTTTGGTTTTTGATTTCGATTTAATATGTTGGTTTCAGTGCAGTAAAACAGAAGAGAAAATATTTAAAGAGAATTTATATAAAAACATAGCAGTCAGGCCATGCAAGAGCCCAGGTGGTCCGGGGGCGGGGCATATGGCCTGATCCTCGAACACCCATCCGTGATCAAGCGGGCTGATCGGCACTTGTTAGAAATCCATTTATGTCTCATAAATTATCAGCCTGACGCCATCGCGGGGTCTCACGTCGCAGTATCTGTTTTAGCGTACAGAGCTTGGGCTTGACCGCGTTAACTGCGGATGGGTATAGACCGGGAACTCAGTTCCGCATCTCCACTTAGACCCGATGAGCTCAAACTTGAGCGACATACATTCAGTGATAATCCGAGATATAGCCTGAGCGATAACCTAAGGGATATGTAACCTAAGGTGATAGTCTTGATACCGAACCCTACATGTAGGTATACCTGATAAACCTCGTAAGTCTGAACATGGAACGATATCCATGGATTGGCCGATATTCAACGTTACTACATGCAATATATGTATTGTACTCCACGTTATTAAGGTTATTTACAGAAGTAAAGCCATTTAATGCATACATTTATGCAAAGTACATGTAATTTGGAGTCTAGTATGTACAGGCCATTCAACATATAGCCACATGTATAGACCGCCCTTGGATTATGCCGGTTCTGTCGTGCCGGAGTTCTGTACGTTAGACTCAAGTTCAGGTCCCCATCAACGGGTGGAATTGTAGTAAGGATTTTACTAGTATCTTTTTAATTTTAACATATAGCAGATTAGCTAATAATAATAAAATAATACCTAATAATTGATCAATAAGTCAAGAAAGTATATATGCTACAGTACATGGTATAGTTAGTAGTAAATCAAATTAATCCAAGAACAAAAGGCGGTCTACATATTGTAGTAGATACCCAAGTATTCCGATAGAAGACCGGTAGATGATCACGTGCGATAAAAGCTTCGATAAGGAAGACGAACTACCGAATGTCGAAACAAATGTTGACTCTCTCTTACTCTCTCTCCTCAAGAGAACACTAACAATGGCGACGCCTCTGAGTGTTGTTATTCCCAAGGCTGCGTTTGCAGCTTGTTTGCTACGTCCGGATCCTACGTCGGTTCCTCACGATGAAATAAGCGACTTCCACACCTGCCTCGAGCGCGCGCTGTCGCATTGTTCCCCAGCCAACATACAGGTCTGAGCCTAAGTCACCTCTATTACCTCTCACGTCCCCGCTTACTAAATAGCTTCCCCGAACAGACCTGTAAAGCGTGGTTGCTTCGCTTCGTTGCCTTCTCAGCCAATAGGCTAAAGGGTCTGGTTAACTATCTGGAAGCTCTCGCAGCGTCCTTGCACCCGCAGCCCACTGGATCCAAAGTCTCACCGAAGCGCCAACGTCTCCACATCCTTTACTTGCTCAATGATCTGTTGCATCATTGCAAATATCACCTAGGCACTACTTCCACCTTCTCTACAGTGAGCGGGTCCCTGCAGCTGCATCTCGTCAACTTGGTCGGCTACGCGGCGACCTGTGATCGTCAAAAGAATCCACGGCACCATCGACGGCTAGATGATCTGCTAGATATCTGGTCCGAGCACGAGTACTTTCATCCCGAGTTGATCAACAAGCTTCGAGAAGTTGTGACCATGGGGGGGCCCCCGCCTTCCGACGATGCAGCCGACGAGTTAACCCCAGCCAAGAAGTCTGGCAAGGATGCGCCATTTATCATGCCATCTACACATGGAGATCCATCGACACGTTGGCACGAAGTTCGTGCGGGCAACATTTATCCTCATATTATTCCCGACTCGACTATTCCCATCCAACCTGATTCCACAAAACCGATAAAACTCCTAGCAGGTCCCGCCGACCAAAAGTCAGTAGACGCCCTCAAAGGCTTTTTGGCTGATGTGAACAAGCTCTTCGACCCGGAAGCCCCCTTGGATGAGAAACACACAGACACCGACGAGCTGGGCCAGACAGTCATCCGGGGTGAGAACACCGACGACATCCTCGATGGCCAGCACTACTACGGATGGTCACTCGAATTCTGTCAGCCCGCAGATACCGACACCGAGGACTTGCGCGACCGCAGCCGCAGCCGTAGTGGATCTCCAACTTATCACAAGCGCCGACGCTACAGTGATAGTTCTAGCAGTCAGTCCGAGCCAGAATCTCCAAGACAAGGTTTCCGTGGCCGCCATGGCACACAATTGAGAGGCCATTCTCCGCGCCGTTCACCCAGCCCTGAAAGCTCATACACACCTCGCGAAACCTCACACTTCCCACCACCCCACCAATCTCAACATCCCTCCGCACCCACCAACTCCTTCCCCCCTGCTCATCCCCCCCTGGACAGTATGCCCATAATACCATGGGCCCTAACACCGGCTATCCCCAAGTATCGGCATCCAACTACGGATCTTGGCCTCCGCCTCCCCCTCACCCGCATATGCCAACAATGCCCTTCCCTCCACCCGGACCCGCAACCTCACCATCAGCTTTCCCTCCTCCATACCATCATACTCCTTCTATGCCGCAGGGACAGAACCAAGGACAAGGGTACGGGGTGCCCCCGGGTCAGTATCACTTCCCTCCTCCTTATTCTGGGGGTCAGCAGGGTGGACCATGGGGACCTCCTCCTCCTCCCCAGGGCGGGCGAGGCTGGTAATAAACCTGTGCACATGAAACGATGTAAGAGTTATGTTTGAAATACAATCGATTCAAATTGAATCGGTGGAAAAGCCATGGTTTTTCCAATGCTGCGATTTGTATGATTATGGCCCTGGCGCCGCAGCGGGATATTCATGTTCATTTAAAACAAATATGAAAGAGTACATGTACATGCAATTGTTGTGCCCTTGTGGAGTAGTTTGCGGTCGATAATATCCACCGTGCGCATCAGTGGTTGGGACTAAAGTAAGTTCAAACATCTAAGCCATATATATATATATCAGATGAGAAAATCCCCGAGGCGACATTTGGACTAGCAGAGGAGGCTATCTAAACAAAGAGGAAAGCAACCACTTATAAAAGTGTATTTGATATTACACGGTACAGGTAAAGTGTCTATATAACATCGAATAGGAAGGAGAATGAGCCCCAAGACACCACCGTTTTCTCCTCAATTGCCAGTATACAACACCAAACTACATCCCATGAGAGTTCCAGACTGACCAGGTAGTTGACATTGAGTGATAGCATCTATGATCATATCAGCCTGGGTCTTTGGCACATCCTTCATTTGGAAACAACCATCCGACAATCTCCTGCGACAACCAACCCAGCCAGTGCCAGCCATTCGTTTTGGTCTCAATTCAGGAGACCAGCACACACTCTTAGTCCACTGTCTTTATTCTCTATCGCCATTGTTCACTTCGAATATCCAAGTCTCATAGCCATCTGCCGCGTGGCAAACCATACTACAATACTACACATCAAGTCACTCTACACCTTTCATACCTACATATACAACGCGCGAACAACACAAAAGCAGCGCCAATGCACCTCACAAATAAACTCGCAGGCTGTAATCCCTCCTGTCAGTCACCACCGCCACCCCAATGACGAGAAACCAAATCCTACGCGCTCTATGCTCTAGTTTCTCATCTCGCCCCCGAGCTCCGGTTCAGTGTCTGCCTACTTTACCTACACCCTCATCCAACCCATACGAGTCTTACACATGCCCCAAGGAGAAGTACAAGTCCTGCAGCATGTGGGTGCAGAAGCCGGGCAAAGACGTCAAGCCGCCCCCTGTCCTTTCTTTGTAGTCTTGGGAGATAGGTCATTGTATACCAATCTATATACTTTCGCAGGCAAGAAAATGACTAAAAGAGAGGCTCCTGAGACCTGCAATGGGGAAGGTTATACCCCCATGTGCTCCGATAGCAATGCTAGTATATGTTTTTCATCTTCCCTTCTTTTTTGGTTCTATATTTTCGAGGAAGAGCATGTATCTGAGTATCATTCTCCAGGGCTTCAGCTTCAACCTGTGCAAGCCTTTCAAGCAGGTTAAAAGAAATACCATTTTGAGAAGCGAAGAAACAGGAACAGGAACACGGGATTGACCTTCAATCTATGCAGTACTCAGATTCTGGGCACCCTTTCAGTCTCGTCAGGCCCATCTAATTTTTCATCTGCCTTCCTTCTTTGGACGGTTCTGGTTAGCTCATTATCGAATCACGGAATTCCAGGGATTTCATCCCTCTAGAAAAGGACAGTATGGCCTTGGTTCGCTAATATGGTTCGTTACTACTCGGCAATTATTCCTACTGGATTTTGACTACTGTAAAGTAGATGCCAGATAAAGTCAAGAATTAGTCAAAAGGATCTCAATCCACAATGATACTGTTGCACTGACGTCAACTTGTCTCAGATTATAAGCCTGTTTCGGCTACTAACCCAGTCTGTGGATATTTGAACGAAAAACATATACGAGGGACTAGATTACAATCCCCGTCCAAAAAGAAAAGAAATGAAAACAAAAGGCAGATAGTTCCGGTTTGATTGCGTTCCGGTTGATTGCGTATATTGTACAGGACATCAATAGCCAACACGGCTAGGTGGTATCGTAACAGGGTATTGTTCTGCCCAGGGACAGTCTAGTATCCCCGACTCAGAGAGTTCGTCACATAAAACCACAGACAGAAAAGAGAAGAGAAAAGACATATAATGTACAGGCCAATATTCCTTCACAGAAGGAGTATTAAGCAGAAGGGATGGTCCCTTACCCAGCCTCCAGGAGAATGGACAGTGTTGAGAAAAGTTTCGAAACGGTAATGAAATATCGTTTCTAGACTGCCCTCTAGTCCAATGAGCAACTCATGGTCACAGATGACAAAGAAAAAAAGTCACGGTAGGTAGTCAATACCTATTTGATGGCGGAACACAGTGAGACAATGCGTGATCTGGCCACGAAAGCCAGCGATCAATTTGGACAGCAGATAAAAGGACATGTACTGAAGATGCTATGCAAAGACAGAAAGTCGATCGAAGGGGTTGAGGGTGGGAAAGGACCATTTCGCACATAGAGAAATCAAACTCCAAAAAAATCAAGAAATCAAACTCCATAAAATCACAGTATCGCTTGAAAGCAGGCACGCTATCCAGCGCGAATCTCATTAAACTCCGTATGGGCGTTGACGGCAAGTGTAAGCGGTGGTTGATGGTCCCGATAGGGACATTCTCACCAATGCTATCGATAGAATGCTAGATCACGGTCTTGGGTGGAATAGCAATCACTGAAAAGAAAGTCTTTCGTTAGCTTTCCTGTACCCCGAGGCCATCACGACGAAAGCAAATGCATACCTTGACACCGGGCGCAGCCCTAATATCCAGAAGACTTAGCCTCGGACATGTCGCGACCACCATGTTTGGTCTCGACATTGCCGACGGACGTTAAAGATCCATTGGCGTGTCGGGACGTACCGCCGCTAGGGGTGATGCTAAACCCACTTTTGCTGCTGCTCTGGCTTCCACGGCGAGAGTCGTCCATGTCAACGAAGGATGACATTTGGCGTTGGGTGTACTGCAGCATGGAACGGTTGTAGTCCTCAAGCGAAGAACGCGAAGGGTCCAGCGACTGGTAAGATCCGACATGAGTCTCGCTGGTCATGTTGTCCACGCTACCAGAGACAGGGAACATGGAGTCCATATCTTCAGTTTGTTGTTGCATTTGAACGGGTTGAGTCATGGGTGGGAAAATGTCTAGTGGTGACACAGTCAGCTTAAGTTGCAGGAATAGGCAGGCAGGGCCAGGAGCGCCGATTAATAAGAATCAGGGTGGTAATTGTGATATGCGACGGTAGAGAAATGAGGCTGATGTATGACGATCACCGAGAGGTGGAGGGTGGGTTGTGGGAACGTGATCCATATCCCAGACATTCCAGAAATGCTCACCTGTGGTGGAAATAACCAGATTGACTGATCGTGTTGGGTGATAGTGCTAAGACTTGTGGGTATGCAAGATAATGTGTGAAAGTCAAGCGGTATGTATGTTCGGGCCGAGGGATACAAAATGATAAAGGAAAAGTGCTATGGGGCAGATCTTAGGAGTTAGGGCATATACGAAAAACAATTGGATTCAATTTGCGAGGAAGGTCATATATAAGACCCGGATGGCTCCACGAGGGAGTATGAAATCACATCGGCGGATAGTGGAAGATGGCAAATGCACCCAAGTTTTTAGCCTCTGATAGGTCAATAACCCCAGTATCTCCTTTGCGCGCTCATAGTAAAGACACAATATCTCACACCGAGCGGAGTACGGTGACATAATTGGCCGAAAGGGGGCGGGATATTTTCTCCTAGGCGACATCATCAGAACCACCCAGCCCTAGTATTTGTGAGTGATAGTCAACCTATTGAGTACGTCGTAGAGCAAGGTGTGGAGGCGAACCACCGTCAGAACGAACTCATATGCGCACGGAGACTGGTGAAGTCTGGGAGCGATATCATCAGTGTTCCACTGGTGGGCCACAATGTTTCGATGAGGTCACTGGGGAATGTGACTTCGGAGGCGTTTTGAAGATCGGCACAACCACAGTCTGGTCCCCTGCAGATCGTTACCTGACGGCTACAGGACGAATCATAATTGGATTATGGGCTTTAGAGGCCTATATCGCATTCTGCATCGCTAGGGTGTCCTTGGGAAAATGTGGACATCCCTGGAGTGGTAATATTATTTCTGCGGGTTGTAGAGGCTTGAATTCAAACACCCATGGTCAGCTCGAACATATCGAATCAATTGACTCAAAAAAAAAAAGAAAAAGCGTAGCTGAACAGATCGAAGCCATGCCGTCATACCCCTAGGCATCGGGGCGACCCGAGCATTCGATTTGTTAAGCTTCAGTCATCCACATCGTCCCGAACATCGCCGGTCATAGAAATGATCTCGAATTCAAAGTTACCCATTTTGATCAAAAGTGGAACTTCTGGGGAGAGCAGACTTGCCATAGTGGAGACACAGTTTGGTGTTTAATGAATTCCCAGACAATTTTCATAGGAAAAGACAATAGACGAAAAGAGGGCAATGGAGACGTGTGGAGATGAGCTAGTGTTTGTCCAAGGTTGGGGGATCATTGATGCCTAAGGCAAAGCGGCACCTGACGTCAGTGAGCCCTCATCTTCGCATAGTAAAGTGAAATTGACCACTTTTATATTTGTAGATGTTCATTCCGGAATACAACAAATCTCAGCCATGGTACTAGAACCAGGAGATTCTCCGATGTTCCCAAACTGCGTTCCAATATGGAAATCGATGTAGTTCCACTATATTGGGTTCAAAACTTGTTCCTCGAAGAGAGATGACCTGAATATTTGGTACGGCGCATGGGAATTAGTGGCAGGAGGTGTGCATCAAAGAACAAGGATGGAGTGAGCTATGTTTGCGGACGGAAGTTGATACCAGGGAAGTAAAATTGTTCGAAGATCTGCGTGACACCGAAGATATCAGAGCCTTCTACCACAACCTGCCTTTACAACAGTTGTATAGCTACATAGTATGACAAGCTTACAGTGAAAGGTTAGCGCAATTCCAGGGCTCATATCAAAAACACGACCTATATTATCGTTTATAGTCATGGTCGACCATCTCATTTTTCAGACCAGGCCTGATGCAAGAATGAATCGGTCTAATCTAGCTGGCGCTGGTCTAGACCAAATTCAGTAATCTGTAATATATTGCAGTGCGCTCATCACATCACAAATATCAATGCAGACCGAAGAGACTTCTTTTACACAGTGGATAGAGAGAATTGACCGCCATGTCGTAAGTAGAAAGGAAATTGTGGAGTAACGAGTGTGTTTTAGCCCCCTTCGTAATATAGTCTGATGGGACTTGAATCATACTCGCCGGTGATTCACATCAAGGTCTGGTTCTAATGTATATTGTACGTATGTTGTGTCAACATCCGAGTGTGTCAGAAACAAGCGAGACATGAGAGGTACCGCAAGGTGCACTTGCGGGTCTTCTCCTACCCTGAAATGTCAATGATGGATGGCCAACATCATGGATAGGCCTTCACATGGTCCACTTTCTTCATGCCCATTCCATCTCGTGCATAGTCTGAAACCCTAAACCACAAACAAACCCAGATGGTTATGATAATGCCTCAGACTGCCCCAAGTCAAATACAATACATATGCTGTATGCCCTTGTACTGCATGCCGATCAATTGAAACAGTCAGTTACCCGAGATTGACAGTGCGATATCACACCCCAGCCGCTGACGACGATCCGTACGATATACTAGCATGAAGACATGTGGTGTACATCGTAGCGAGCATATGAGATCACCGGAAGCAACCTAATTGCATGGCGTCGCTTCTTACCGGCATTGCCTCACGTCATAGGACCCCTACCCCCATGCCCCTGGACATCCATCGACAACACCATCTCCACATCTTTATTATTAATGTCTCTGGATTTGCTGCGCGCCCCTCGTATATTGCGGGTCGGAGTGAGTATCCAAAAACCTGTTTTTGAATCTATTGGCCTCGATAGTACGGAGTACAACATTGGGGCTTATCTGACAACTCTCGACACGCTAGCATTCACCGATGCACCTGGACTTGTGTTTGCCATCTTTTCTGGCATCATATATGGGGATGATAATGTCTAACTGACGTACGGAACTTGCTGAAATCCCACCAGCATGCGTGATGTCGCCTCTGCCCTGCGTTCTGGTCTCAAAGATACGTTGTGAGCCATCCATATCCTGGTGAGAGACCTCATTTTCCTTCTCTTACAAACAGGTTCTGCTCTGCGAGGATCGAGTACCCGCTTCCCCGGCTGCACGGTGATCTGGCTGATATGTGCCGGGAGAGGCGCGAGAACAGGTCCAGCACAAGGTTAACTCACTTTTTCATCAGTATCGACTCAGCAACAGACCATCTAGGCTCGCCGATGAAAACCTTTCTTTGAACAGAAACCGGTTCTACTCCTGCGAATGTGCAGGATGCAGGATGCTGAATACGGCATACGGCATACGGCATACGGCAACGATCACCCCTCGTCTCCCCGGCTGGACTAGGCTCAGTGCTCACTGATGTTGTTCAGCGACAGACAATCTGACCGCCTTGGGGACTTCTTTCGACGAAAACCAGTTACATCTCCGCGAGCATGGAGCATGGGGCGACAACGTATACCATCAGGAACATTGAGCATGCGCTTCCGGGGTGTCTTTTGATCCTGTCGACTCTACGAGTATGGAGCATAGATTTGGGGCGTACAATGTGGACCATCGGGCATCTTGAGTATGAGGCATACAACATATACCACCTGGCGTCTTGAGCATGCACTTCCGGTGTGTCTTTTGATCCTGTCGGTCTGATGCGTCAATCCATCCATCTCCCCTTGGTAAGGTGTAAGTCCCCCACCTAATATAACATGCTAGACCTTCAGCTTTGATCACAGTTGCCTTATAAACCAAATGTTCAACTCAATTACTTTCCTTGACATGCGATACAATCAACGTGCCACCTTGACTCGAACCAAGTACTATATCGAGTATATTTTATTCCCAATTCTCGTCCAGATAGAGAGGAACATCATAGATTTTTCAGCAGAAACAACTAGACAACACGCCAGACATAGAAGGTAGTAAAATGCATCATATTATTGTTCATGCTCATGCTTACATCACACGTAACCTGTTAAGAAAGAACGTTAATACGAATCCTCCGAATAGGATAGACAGCAGCGTCAAAACAGTCCGGATACGACCATGACTTGCGCCCACATCCAACACTCAAGCATGGGGACCATGTAAACATACCTTTCCGGGCGCCCTGGAAGAAGAAGCGCACAACAAAGACCTGCAACGCAGCCATGGAAACCATCATCAAAGACTCAATCACACTGAAGTTGAAAATCCGACGCTCGGTACTCCGCACGGTACTGAAGTTACGGTTCTCACGTGTGCGGAAGTACTTCTGGTTGCGGGAGACAGTAGAGAGTTGCGCTGACAGCTTGTAGATGGACTCCTCCAGACTGGATGTTTGCTCGGGGCTAGCGCCCTGGCGCGAGGGCAGTTGGGCGCGCTGCTCGTTCTCGACCTTTATGTATAATAGCTCAATTAGCACTTGTTGACCGCTGAAGTCGATGGATATGTGGGACGTACGGCAATCTCGAAGTCGACCATCTTCTCGGCGAAGGTGGACATCTCGTTGTTGAAGCAGAAGGTGTACTCGCCCACGCTCTGCGCAGTGAACACAAAGTCGCCCTGTCGCTCCTTTGTGCCGTCTAGAACGATCTTGCCGCCCGGTGCGGTGACAACGTAGTCGACATCGAATGAACCGCCAGATTGGACCTGCATCGTATAATATCAGCATTCGGCTCCCACCTTATGTATCCATAGCTCCGCGATTAAAATAAAATATCACTTCTTGAAGCTATTATAGCTGGATAATCAATTGGACGTACCGCGAAGTAGAAGGCCACTTTGGCGTTGCTCTGCTCAACGTTTGTGTAGAAGCATGCTTTCTCGTTCGCCTCGAGTCTGTAAGTGAGGGCGGTTGCGGTGACGGATGAGACCAGGGAAGCCAGGCCGGCCAAAAGAGCGAACCGCATTGTGAGAAAGATATACCGAGAGGGGACCGTTGAGCTGGGGGATGATATCCATGTCAGGAGATGGCGTTCTGGCCAACTTTGTCTTCCGCTGTTTGATTTGTTTGCATCAAAACAAACTTCCGTATCTACTTCAGTCTATCAATGGTAGAGATGCACGACACATGTAAAAATAGACAATTTGCACTCATCATATAGACGGGATTGTCTTCTACTCCGACTGGTTACATGAAAAAATACGCAAAAAATAAGAGAAAGGCATGATCATCACATCAGGGTGTCCCTTCCCTGCTCATGTACCGGGTTGCAGCATACATCTCTCCCTCAAGTCGTAAACCTTTAGCGCCATGACTTTAACACTTGTTTAACGAATGGAGAATCCATCGCTCTTGCCCCAGAAGCTCCGGCTCTTGTTGGGGTGATCAAGACCCAGGAAGTCATCGGCGCCAGCCGCTACATCTGACAAAATATCACCTGCGAGGAGTTAGTCAGTCCGAGAGAAGATTTTTCCATGGAATCAGAGAAAGGGCACTCACCATCTTCGAGATACTTGGCATTAGAGAAGGATGTCCGGGGGACCACGGCGAACTTGATCTTCTCGAAGTTCTTGCCCTTGATCTGTGTACGGGCGGAAAGGCGTTTCTTTGTCTCCGCGAAAAGTTCTCCAGGCTTCACAACAAACTTGAAGGGGATTCCGTGGGTCCGGTTAGGTTCGCGATCGAAGCTGAATACGCTAATGACGCGGTCATCGGCGTCCATAGTCAATTCTTCCGATGGGATCTTTTCGGCGTAGAGTGTGGCGTATTCGTTAATGGCAGCCACGTTTTGCTCTTCCCGAAGCTCTGTATAGACCTTCCCACTGTGTGTTTCCGCAACCCGGATCTGCTCATCGCCCAGTTCCAACTTCTGCCGCAATGCAGCCAGAAGATCTGCCACGGTGCCGCTGCGGGAAACCAAGATTTCAACAATCTCCTACTGGAACGTTAGCCAAATTCCAGCGTCATGGATAAGGGATGCTTAACACGAACCTCTTTGGTGATGCCATCAGGGAGCCATGTGACTTTGAAGCACTTCTTACTCTCATAATCAGTCAAACTCATGTCCAATACCTCGTAGTACAAAGCATCTGCCCGGTGCATGGTGTACCCATAGGCACCATATTGGCCATTCAAGATTTGTGAGAGGTTCTGGTTGACGTTTCGCTTCAGGAAAGGCTTGGCCTTGCCAGTACTGGCCATTACGGGTGCGAATCGAAGATGGGTCTCATCCACTTTGAGATGCTCACCAACCTTCTTGGCAAACTGGTCATAGGTCATCTTGCGGCTGAGAGTCAAGTAGAAAGTCTCACCCTCATTGGTCTTGATTGGGGCGAATTGAACTTCCATGCGGTTCAAAAGGTAATCGTAGAATTGGCGAGCGTCTGTGTAAAGCGCTGAGGCTGGCACTTCGGACTCCTTAATTGTGCGCTGGAAGGTAATGATGTCGCCGTCCTGAATTTCAGATTGCTGGAAAGTCTGCTTAGGTTTCATAACGTCGATCATGGTATGTTTGATCTCTTCGAAGAGCATGAACTCTGTACCGGCGGGCCAATCCATCTTGGAAAGAATTGTCGGGGCCAGCTCGGCCACTTTCTGGGTCTTGTGGACATAGACAGAGCAAACACCAGTCAAGGTCTGGGCTGCAATGTCGAAGTTTTTGAGGAAAACGAGGATCGAGTCATTATCGGGCCACGGAGTAGGTTGTCCATCTGCACCGGTCGGTGCCACCTCCATCCACAAGCGGAAGAACTGGCCTTTAGTGCCGAATTTGTTGTATGCCTCCTCAACGGTCATTTCCTGATCGCGGATCACCTGATCGGGTCGCGTTGTCTTGTTCTGACGGTTGACCATGACCCAGAATCGAATGGCTTCTGGCTTGAGATTCCGTTCTTCGGCGATTTCCTGTGCAAATTCGCTGACCTTCTTTGCCCGGAGGATCTTATATTGCGTGGGAAGGGCCGGATCATCCGCGGGGAGGTCATTGCTAGTCAGATCGAAGCCGTGGTGGTTTCGGAACGCATCTTCGTTAAGGACGCCGACATTCATGTAAAGGTGGGCTTCTTCCTTCTCCTTCTTCCGACGCAACATCTCCGCTCGGTCCTCGGACATACGCTTTTCTATTCCATAATTAGCCAACCAATCGATTCTCAGAAGAACAGGAATATCTGGACATACCAATGTGAGAGGGCACATCATCCTTTGTGACCGGGAAGAATACATCATCCTGTCTCGTCTTTCGGACGTAAACCAACATGTAGGCATTGTTCGTGCGAATAGCGGATCGTCCCCCAGTTGCTCCGTTCGTGCGCTGCTGGTTGTCTCCGTAGTTTTCATCCAGAACTTCTTTGTCGGTAGCTCGGTTGACTCGGTCATCATCAAAGCGGTACCAGTGTCCATCCTTGGTGGGCTTGATGAAGGCATAGTAATGCCCGGCATCGAGGTTACCGCTGTGGACGAGAACACCGTGCAATTGGTAAACCCAGGATTCCGACTTGTCGGCACTCTCAGAAAGATAAGGAGCCGCGTCGAACTCCATAGGGAATGTGTGATAATCATTAACCTTGGCCATCATGTCGAGGTTGAGGTCGTACTCGAAACGTTTGAGGTGGAGATGCAGAACGGGAGGGAAGCTCTCGAAAATGACGCCCTTCTTGGCGTCTTGCAGACCATATGGCTGCCCAGCTTCGTACTTGTTCTCCCCCTCTAGCGTCTCAACCTGAATGTAATCCCTGAAGCTGTCATCCAAGGTCTTGTTGCCTCGAACATTGAGTTGAATATCCCAGAAGTCTTCCACACGAGAAGATTCGTAATCGACATTGATGCAAGAAATATACGTTTTTGTTTTTCCGACGAACAGATCGGGCAGAACCTTTTCTGCAACGGTACCCTTCATCTTGTGCTCCAATCTTTCCATGAGCTTTCGTGAAAGCTCCTGTACATCTTGCTGTTCAAAGATCTGGCTTGATTGCCAGCCAAAAGATGCGGTGAGCTCGGTTGTAGAAACAGCCGCATCATTGGTCTGCAGATTGTAAAATAGTCTCTGGAGGGCCCACGCGCTGTTCTCACGCGTAGCTTCCTGGTCAGTCGGTATTTGGTACACGGCCTAAGGATTTTCGTTAGTCTCCATGGTTTGGGGGTGCAATCGAAGTTTCATTTTTTGCATACCTTGCGGAAAGCGTTTGTGAAATAGAGCGACTGCAAAAGTGAGTTCAAGTAGCAAGTAGCTCCCTGGTTCCTCAATCCTACCATTCCAGTCTCCTTCTTCGAGTCGTAACTGAATAGAGAAAGTTAGCTTCACTCGGTCAGACCTTCCCGGGAGAACGCACTTTTGGAAACTGTGCCACAAGACACCCGTGGGATCTTTCACTACACGAACGTAGGCTGTGACAATTGCCTCGTCATCCTGCACCAACGGGACGGACTTTCCCTCCCACGCACGGCTAAACAGACCTTTGAGGTCGGCGAACCGGGTGAAACCCCAGTCCCCTTCCTCAGCGGTGAAACGGTGGGTTGCAACTAAAACTCAATTTAGCATTGTGATCGCCCAATCCCTCGAGACTCGAATGTCCTACCGTGGTGTGTATAAATGGAAGGATCGTTCACATTTGACAACACCAGTGCGAACTGCACACAGGCGTACCAGTTCTCCGGGGGTCCATTCTCCCACGCATGTTCGAGGTAAAACGAGGCGAATTCGGTCTGGTTACCGTAGGGAAAAAAGAGGATGCGCCTATTCTCGAGTCAGATCCAATGCCAATGCAGAGCCATAGAGCCTTCTAGACAAAGAGATTTCAGGCACCCACCACGGGGAGTCACCACATCGGAAGATGGGTCCGTGTGACTTGCGATCCATATTCCGCCAGTCCGACAAGCGCCATGAGTTGTGAACCTCATCTAGGGTTTCGAGATCCGGGTTCTTGGGGAGGACCTCTGCCATCATCGCGGCGTCTATATCCATCGGGGAACTCTTGATTAGCAACCAGTACAAACAACCAAACAGGAAGTATATTTCTCGAGGGCAATCTCATTCAGATGTCATGCTTTGTCCAGTTAACCCGTCAAACCGCCCCCGGGTTATGGTGTAGGGAAAGAGAAGCAACAAAGAACGTACGGTCATTTGCGGTCGGTGCGGATTCAGGTTCGTCGGATCCCGACCGGGACACGACGACGACATCGGTCTTTTCAGCAGGGTATTGATCATAATCATCGACAAGCATGTCGTTCTCCGCGAGCTGTTAGAACAGGGTTAGGTCCAATGACGACACTAGCGAGGGGCACGGTCGGGGCATCTCTCACGTTCTCCATCGCGGAAAGCGCCTTCCCGTCCCGGAAGGCGACAGAATTTTGTTTGGGGAAGTTTGGGGAATAAAAAAGACAAGAATGTTGGAAAGAAATACACTGTAGAGCTGTAGAGCTTGGTGGTGGAGGAAATTCGTCTGAACCCGCAAAATAATAAGGGCCGGAGCTAGCGGTGGCGGAGCCTCGAGGGCTCGGCAGTGATATTGTGGACGTTTATGAGATCTGTCTTTGATTATATGCTTAATTTTGGAGTTAATAGCCGTTTATTCTGTCTTTCTCTTTTTCAAATTAAAAGGACTTAATAGTGTGCAATAATATATGCACAGAGTATATGGTGAAAATAGCCCTAATTTATACCAGTCCGATTTATTGTAGCTACATAAATTAGATACGGAGTATGTTTTTCTGCAAGCCAATCTATCTCTTTGAATGTTTTCAAATATGCGTAGGTGGCCCTCAGATCCAAAGGGGTCCACGAGCCTGATGCGTTAGCCCCAAGTCCGTGCGAGTTCCTCAGATCCGAGGCAACTTCGATGCAAATCGTATGACATCGACATGTAGGTAATATATATAAGGAATAACATACATATGGAGAGGAGATATGAGAGGGAAAACAAAACCTATAGTGTTGACCGGTGTCACATGCTTGGCTCACCGCCCGGCAACCCCAAACATCATCTCGAGTCCCAACTACGCCCAGGCACATCGTGAGCACATATATGGTCTCGGTACTTCCTGAATGAGTGCATGGAGCACAATGAGGTTGTCTAATCCAGCTAGAAGCTGGCAGCTCCTCCGATGTCCACCTAAACGCTTCTATTCTGGAGCTCACAGCCCGCCACCTTGGCGGCCAGTTTCTGCAGTAGATGAGTATGAATGACTCACGTCCCCAAAGCTTGAAAATGGTGATACTAACCGAGATATGTTGGCAGATGGGTGGAACGAGCTATTCGACCTATTAGCCTTCGCCAGCTGACTTTCTTTGGTCGTACCTTGACCGAACCTCGCCTCATCAGTTCCGCAAACTACGTCCGGACCGAGCTACCTACTCGGTAAGTTGGGAGACAACCAGCAGAATTGGAAATAGTCTGATAATTGTCATTGGATAGCCTTGCGCACCGTCTACGGGACATTCAGCAACTGCCATATGTGGTGGTTGCCAACCCCCATCTCACCCTTGTATACGAACTGTACTACAAAGCATTTGAGAGGGTTCGGGTGGTTCCTGAGATCAGGACCCTTGAAGATAATGATCGTTTCTGTGAAATTTTGAAAGAAATGCTGCGTGAGCATCTGGTTGCGATCCCCAATCTGGCGATAGGAGTGCTGGAATGCCGCCATCTTGCTCCAGCCGACGAAATGGACCGGTTAATGAACACACTTCTGCGAGCGGTATGTAAAGCTGACCTCCGGTCTTCCTCCTGGCTGACAATTATTTCCTCGGCAGCGAATCTCTCGCCGAGTCATCGCAGAGCAACACTTAGCTCTCACCGAAACCTTTAACTCACCATGGCACTTCCCCGATTCCCACGACCGGACCGACATGAATGCAGACTTTGTGGGCGAAGTGTTCCTAAAGTGCAAGGCGAAGGAGGTAGTCGAGAGATGTGGAAAGGTTGCACAAGATCTGATGCGGAACATATCGGGCTCGACCCAGATCCCTGCGATCACCGTCAAGGGCCATGCGGATGCGACATTCCCGTATATATTGAGCCACCTGGAATATATCATCGGAGAACTTCTCCGCAACTCAGTGCAAGCAGTGATCGAGAAATATCAACACTCGGACCAACCCCCACCACCCATCGAAGTGCTCGTGTGCGAGACCCCGCAGCATGTGATAATGCGCGTCTCTGATCAAGGAGGAGGAATCCCTCGAGAAATTCTGCCGTACCTATGGTCCTTCAGTAAGGGCCCTCGCACGCAGACCCGGCTCGAAAATCTTGGACGGGTCCCTGCAATGGCGGCGACGATGCAAGACCTACAGGTGTCACACGAGTTTAGACACATCAACCGGGATTTACACCATGAAGGATCCCTGGACACATTGACATCCCGACCACCCGACCTCCGTCTGGGGATGGGTCTCCCCATGAGTCGAGTCTATGCTGAATATTGGGCAGGCAGTCTAGAATTGCACAGTCTGGAAGGGTATGGAGTGGATGCATTCCTGCAGATCTCAAAACTTGGCAACAAGAACGAGCAGGTTACCACTCGGGCGGCAATTGATGCGGTATAGGACTTAAATACTGGGGAATATTACAAGAAATATATTCCCAGTACCTCTACATCTCCAAGTCCGTCCAATGTACCCCGTCAATTGTACTTGCCGCCTATGCACACTAACGCCACATCAACAATCCAGACACCGCCACATCTTAACGGCATGTGGCGGTATCAGTCCGGGATGACGTCATTGTACTTTCCCTCAGCAAATCAGCTTCCCGGCTGCCTCAGCCCTACCACAGCTCCTTTCAGTCCAAGTCGTGACGTCGTGGCCAAGATCAAGATGAAACGCATTAACTCTTCTGCGGATGACAGTATCCCTATTTATATCTTCATCCTACTCTTTGCAATTCTCCTCCTCAGCTTTCTAGCCACCGATTTCAAACCTCACTCCAAAACTGAACAATAATCACACATACATCAAACACCGCAATCATGTCCGGCACTGCCTCGACCCTCTGTTTGATCATCATTACTATATTCGGTAAGTAATTACTGCCTGAAGAATCCACCAAAAAATCCATCCCCACATAATGATCCCCAGATCGCCCCTCAATCTATGGCTATCCCCACCAGAATGATCTGCTAACAAACCAAACAGTTCCCCCTCTTGGTGTCTTTTTGATTGCAGGCTGTGGAATTGACTTTTGGATCAACGTCCTGCTCACATGTCTTGGGTGAGTATTCTAGATATCCCGAATTCCGTCATATTCGAAAACTAACTAACGATATCTCCCAGCTACTTCCCTGGACACATCCACGCCTTCTATTTGGAATACGTCTATTATGAGCGTCGCAATCGCGATCCATTAACTCGTGCCTCTCAAATGCCCGCACCTGGCGTCTACTCCGATCACATCCAGAATGGAGGCCTTCATTCCGTACCCGTAGGCCAGACTTACGGTACCATCTGATTTTCTCTCGATACCTCCGAACTCTCGTCGGATTGCTTGACCCGGTCTCTCGACGGTCGGCATTCTCTACGACTTTCAACCTAAGCAAGTCTCTACCTTTAGTGTTTCTGCTGTATCCATAGCGTCGATTCTTGTTCTTTCGGGTATACCTGGATCCCTCTGAAACAACAAACTGAGAAAGATGGGTTTCCACTCTCCAATGCAATGCGTTTCATATGTGTCACTTTCAAAATGCAGCTGTAGGAGGTGAGTACTCTAGACAAAGCTCCCAAAAGTAAAACAAAAAAAACAGGTAGATCCCAACTCCCATCTCAACAGACCCAACAAAATCTCTATACACTCGCCTTCGCCTTATCCGCCTTCGCCGCCTCCTTGGCCCTCTTCTCAGCAGCAGCCTTCTTATTATCCTTCACCTCAGGGAAATCAAAAGGCTCACTGCTAACAATCGTCCCACCAGTCCGTGGCGCAGTCCCAGTACCAGGCGCCCACAACAAAGCACCAACCCAAGGTTGAACATTCCATCCAACATGAAGGGTAACATTCTGACGCTGTGCCAGACGACCAGTAATATCACTGATCTGGTACTTACCCTTCTGACCACGCAGTCTCAAGACACCGGTCGCCAACGCCTCCTTCTTACTCTTCGCCGACTTGTTCGATTTAGCATGGCGCTTAGCATTCCTCTTCGCAGCAGCCACAGCCTCAGATGAAACTGACGGTGGAAGAAGCGCAATGACCTGGTCTTTGAGGATATCCCATGAATAAGGCGACGGGGTTGCGGGGATGATAGTGTCCCAGATGATTGACTCTGAGGCGCGGACTTGCGAGCCGGGGATATCGGAGGAAGAGTAGGTAGCATAGACGTAGACGAAGAGCTGTTTGGTGTTCCAGTTGAAGAGCGGGCTCAGGTCTGCGTCGAGGTCGAAGCGGAGCTGGGCGTATTCTTCGCGTTTCGTGGAATAATAGTGCGGCCGGCCCTTAACGCTGTTATACCGAGAAATGGGTTTTAGTAAATAGGGCTCTTTTAATCTTTCGGTCTCTGAAATATAGGGTTGGAGGGAGGATGGAAGCGATTTCACTTACACCTGCACGTTCTTCAGCTGCACTGAGGCATTGGTCTCGTCTGCTGGGAACAAGAGGACCGAGACAGCTGCCAGTGCGCTGACGACCAGCGCGACTGTAGTGAAGAAGCCGAATACGGACTGGATGCGGTTCAAGGAGGAATGCATGGTATGGTGGGAGACGAATGGGAAAGATGAAGCCAGCTGGACCTGTTTGGATGTTTGGGTTCTTATCGATAAGCGGCATCTATAAACTGGGGGCCGTCATCTCCACATCAACAACTCTTATACCTTCATTCTTCTCTCTTCTTGTGATTTTTTTATATCCTAACCTTCTGTTGAGTTTGAGCATCCATATATTGTACCTCAACTATATAGAATCTATTCCCTCAGACCCTCACTCAACCCTAACACAAAAACCAACTAACTCAACCCCACACCATACACAATGGGCGACCACGTCCTCTTCTTCTACGGTATGCCCCACGTGAATCAAGACGAGCTGCAAACTAAAAATAATACAGGAACCCTGATGGCGCCACAAATACTCCACAGAGTAATCCACGGCCAGGCAAACCCAGAACCCTGGCAAAAAGCCATGCTCCGCTTCCAACCCGCCATTCTACACGGGTATCGACGACACCGCGTGCAAGACGCCGATTACCCAGGGATCGTGGCAGCTCGAGAGACAGGAACCGAGACAGAGAAGTCATCTTCGCCGAAAACCAGCACTGGGACATCAGTCATCGGAACCCTCGTGTCGGGACTGACAGACGGCGACATCTACCGACTGGATAGGTTCGAAGGCTCTGATTATGAGAAGAAACAGGTCACTGTGTGTACGCTGCGGGAAGCGCGGGGTGATAATAAACATGCTGGTGAGGGAGTTAGTGATGAGAATCGACTGCGCGAAATGCTTGATGCGACGAGTACTGAGGCTGATGAGGGGGAAGAGGTTTCGGCTGTGACTTATGTGTACACTGCTGGGAAAGATATGCTTGAGGATGCGGAGTGGGACTTTGAGTCGTTCAAGAGGGATAAGATGGCGTGGTGGGTTGGGGCTGATGAGAGTGAGTGGTAGGGGTAGTTTTCTTCACGTATGTCTAGGTAGATATTATTGCTGTATTAAATGATTAAATTTGCATTGTGATGTGAGTGGTGGTGTCTGATGCTATGAATGTAAAGATACGAAGGGAAAAAAACGATCCTTCTCTCATCGAACACCGATACAAAGCTGTGTCTATACTGAACATGCCATGAAGCACACGGATTAAAACGCTAAAAGCAACAGTGAAGATATGGATTGATGATGTAGGTGGTCCGGTCCAGCCGGAACTGTGTTCGGATTTCGAGATCATCTTAGACAATAGGTTTGTATCACATAAATTGAACGAACAAACTCATCTCTTTTGTAGAGGGCCTCGTGGGCTTTGTCTATTTCGTTCTTTTCTTGTAGGGGGTGGTGGTGTGCTTGGCACTTCGGGCTCTTCCTGGCTACCGGGTACCTGGATGGTGGGTTCCTTCTTCGGTGGAGGAACATGGCTATTTTGCGATTCTGCGTCTGCAGATGGGTTTGGGGATGCTTTGGTATGTTTCGGGGGGTTTTCTGTAGGTAACATATGCATCTGGTCCGTGGTTGAATCTTCACTCGAGTCTTCTGTCTTCGAATTGGCAGTCTTTGCAGGGTCCTTTGAAGGATTTGTCTCCTGCTGAAACTCAGGCACCACATCAACATCCGGAATTTCCTCCTGACAAGGAAGGGGCGGGCCAAGCAGGAATGAAACAGGTTGTCTGGCTGCCATGACAGGTTCATTGGCTTGCCCCTGTTCTTCGTACAGCTCGTCCAAGAACTTGCCAAGACGGTACCGCAGCAGACCAGAGCCCAATGGAGGCCAGTCATCGTTAGAACTCATACTCCGTTGTAGCACCTTGGTGATGAACCAATCAGGGCTTTGAACAAACTTCTCCAAGTATGCCAGCAGATAAAGACCGCAGTCCCAGAAATTGGGCTGAAGGGGGATATCGCGAGCTCGCATGCCCTTGACGTCGTTCGGGTCAAGTTCAACACCGCGTTTAGACACCGCTTCGCGGCAGATGTACTCGCGTAGGATTTTGATGGTGGGGGAGCGAGGCATGTCGAGGGAGTCAAATGTGATGATCGTTGTTTGGTTTGGATCCAACTTTAACCCTATTTTTTTCTTCTTGGATTTGTGGGTGGGTTGTGACGCCGCGGCCTGGTCCTGGGCGAGCTTTTGGGCAGCGAGTTTGGAGAGATTTGGGAGTAGAGGTGGGGTTTCGATGGGCGTGGGCTGATCCTCTGGGCTCTCCGTATCCTGGATCGCACGCTCATTCGCCTCAATATGCAGGGAGGCAAGGTCCCCTCCGTGATCAGATCCCTTTCGAATCTCACGAGGTCGACTGGCCCTATCAGAAGCATTGGGCTCTGACTTTGACATTGCTTCCGGCTCAGGGGTCTCTTCAATCTCCTGGATCTCACTCTCAGACGCATTGGATGACTCTTTCTGTAGAGTCGGTGTTTGGACCGGCTCTATGCCGCCAGCAGAACCAAGAGACAAGCTTGGCAAGTTGCAAATGATTGCAACGTACCAATGGGCATTCTCATTGATAGGAACGACGATATAATCATAACTGAAGAGATCGACGTTCCGAGTCCACTTCTCCACACCACCGTAGTTGATCCCACGTTCCCCTCGTGGGGTGTTCGTGAGAGTTGCAAAGAAGTAGGTGTTGAAGAAGTATATGCGTTTGGCGGCCTCCCTGTTGGTGCGTTCGAGATGATCCTGAAGGAAACGCATGTAGAGAGCGATCAGGTTATCGTTCAGGAAGTCATCCCGGAGTAACCGTTCACGATCGTTAAGTGTGACCTCGGCCTTCTTCTTTCCATTTCGCGGGTACACCAATGGTTTCTCCCAATTGTGTCTGAAAGAATCGTCCCTGGGGAGTGAGTTCGAGCTTGTTTCGGAAGCAATGTCTCCATTCGACACGTCGGGTTTGTTACCGACACGGCGGGTGGAAGATCGGGTCTCGCGTTCTGGTGGGTTGACGGAAGTTCGACCTCCACCATCTGTATCAAGAGGACCGTCCGAATCAAAAGGTTGGAAACCCTGTTGCTCTTTGGCAGAAATTCGAGAATCGACATTGCCGTTTCCATATATTGCCTTTTCCTGGGCGCATTTGACCTTGATTGAATTAACATTGTTGACTTCACCATGGCCATCTCTCAAGGACTTCGAAAGTTTAGGCCGTCGCGAGGGAGAAGAGTGCGCGGGATCAGGGTCTACCATCAACCCATCAAGAAGCCGCTTCTTGGGCCGCTTATTCTCTTGTGTGTTGTCCTGCGGAAATTGCTTTTCATATTTCAAAAAAGACCTGTCCATCCATTTCCTGTTTCGGTGTTAGTGAACTGCGGATTCACCCAAGAGACGGGTCGTAAAACTTACATCTCTTTACTGTGGCGGTGGACATCGAGTTTATCCAATACTTCCAGTAACCTCTCCTTGTCCTCAGTGGTCCAAAACTCAATATCGAGCTGATCATTTGGTTCGAAGGTACGGGCAAGTTTCATTCTCACTTTGCGGCTGGGCTTCTCGCCGACCACAACGTGCATGATTTTTTGAAAAGGTATTGATATTGTGTTACCCTGGCCGAGTGCATCATCGCGAAGTTCAAACCCTTGCTTGTTTGAATAAATTGGGACGGTGTCCTCCATGAGACAAGATTTGCTCGAGGTACCGATTCGGAAATACCGCAATTTATGTTCCTTATCAGGGTTATTTTGAGATACCTTGGCCTTTTTCATGGCCGGTGCTGGGGGCGAAAAGTCTTGAAGTGGGATATCGGATGGGGAGCGTTTTCGAGTCGGTGTTTCTGTGAGTATGGTGGGTTTGGATGGGCGAGTACTCTGGGGTTGTTTTTCTGACAAGGATCTCGGTACTCGATGTGTGGTTATGTCGCCTTGGAGCTCATCTGGACTTTCCCTGCCATTGGCAGGACGACGGAATTTCGTTAAAGGAACTGCAATGCGATTCGGACCAGCTTTCTTTGATCCAACCTCGATATTCCCAATAACAATGGCCTCGTTAGGCTGGCTTGATCTGCGATTCATTTGAGATAGCCGGGGATCTGTAGATCTCGCCAGATTTCGACGTTGCTGCGCTGCTGTTTCAGTGAATTTTTCATCCCGAGAGTCAACAGAAGAGAATCGATCACGAATAGAGTTTTGCGCTGATTTGGCGCCATTCTCCACGTCCCTGGAACTATCACGCCGGTTGCGACGTTTTGTGGGTTGTGCTAACCGATCCATGGCTGGATTTTCTATGGCTGGATTTGCTGGGGCTGTAAGGTCGATGGTTTCGCTGGTTTCAGTCTGGCGCTGTATCTTGGTAGGCCGAGTCGACTCTTCGAACGCATCGTCAAATTGGGGCGACTTTCTCCGTGAAGTTTGTTGATTTGATTCTCTGTAAGAACGAACCGGCCCGCTGCTTCGGGCATTCTGATTCTGTGAAAGTTTGTTTTGGGGGGAGAACGCAAAGCTAGACTGTGACCGAGGATCAGATGGGATGTCATAGCTATGGATGTAAAGGCTAGGATTTACCCCTGGCTTCTTGTTTTTAGAATGGAGCGACGTTCCAGGCTTTATCTTGACGGCGTGGGAGTCACTATCAACGGGAAAAAAAAACCGACTGGTTAGCAACGACATCTAGAACAACTCAGCACGAACGCATAGGACTTGTAGAACATACCGATATTTGGCTCCGAACAGCCGCGCCTCATCTTGCCGATTCTGGGAATCCTTTTGCTGGTCCTTGTTCAACATCTGCGACGAATCACCCAGCCTGGGAATGGGTGGGGGCATCAGTTTTGGCTGGCCGGTAGGGAAAGGCTGTGGGTTCCGATGGGACATGTCTAACCGGGTAGTTGGATTTAGAAAAGGGTGGGAGAAACGTGAGCGCAATAGTTCGTCCGCGGTTGTAGATCCAGTTGGGGACGAAAAAGTATCGACATAACTGTGAGCAGCCTGAGAAGATCGATTAGTCCCAAGTCATAAATCCGATAGCTTGCGACCAGACAGGTAAAAATGAAAGAGAAGTGATCAAGCCAAGGAGATTATGCAGGGTCGAGATATCAAAAAGCAATATGGACGGCTAAGGGCAAATATCGGCGGGACGCGCATGGAGATAAGAGATACGATACACACCGTTGGAAGAAGAGCGATCCCAGCGTTTCGGGGAGAAGTGGGTTCAACGAGGTTGGTTCCAGATCCCAGGGCAAAGAAGTCACGACCAGGTCCAGCTGGTCGAGAACGAGGAGGGGTCGAGGGCGGTGGTTCTGCACGTTGAATAGCAGATCGTTGATCTTCGGTCTGGCGTGGGCGTCGCGGTGACAAGTTAGAGAAGAGTTCGACTAGGTTTTTAAACACAGGCATTAAGGCAGCCAGAAAGTCATTGCAATATGCATTGCATAGATATTCCAATTGTTCGTTTATTGTCTTTTTTTTTCTTCTCGTTCATAGGATGCAAGCACGCCGCATCGTCATCTGGGTCCTAGGGCGGTCAGGATTGATTGACGCCTGAAGAGTTAGGCATAAAGACTTCTGTGTTTGATAGTTATCCTGGAATAGCGGTATAGATGGATGTGTAATATGCACATTCTCTGAATCATTCACTCTGTTCATACCTTTTGCATTATTAACGCTATTCACACCGGTAGCTTAATGCCCCCATACCCCAATGGCGTGAACAATACATCAGCCTTAACATATTTACTAGTTAGTTGGGGGTTCTGGCTTGCACAGGGTATTGTACCCATATGGCGGGGCCATTTACGAATATATTTGGTTCCCTTGTGTATGCATAAGTTCATGTAGTTGGAGTATTCGGCAGAGTGCAACAGACCAAGTCTATGTGAAAGGGTCTACTTCACATAGTAACCCAATTCACGCAAAGCATAGACAATACTCTCAGACGAGAAAACCATTAGCAGCTGGTGCTGCATTCATGCTGCGTACATAAAGGAAAAACATCACGCATGAGCTCGGTAGACACAAAAAAAACACACATA